TTTAATCCCGGTATTTTCGGGATCGGATTTTTTACGGGATCCCGGGATTTCGGGATCCCGGGATTGACACTCCTAACACAAACATAACCTATAAACCGCGATAACTGCTAGTTAATTCACTATCTGAGTGCCGGTTTATCAATCTCTGGTTAAGTTCCAGAACAATGGTACCATGGAGATTATCTGCCAGATAACTACCTAACTGCAACTTTAACCGGACATTGATAAACCCGCCCTGACACTTGCAGCTTCCAGTTAAATTTACTTTCAGTTATCTTAATTTAAGTTCTTAGGAAACGTTAGTTGCATATTTATAAACAGTTTACCTACCACTTTAATTTTGTTTACCAGTTAAGACACTTAACTGGACATTGGTAAACTGGCCCTCAGTCAGTCAGTCAAATTTATAACCTAAATTTTCCAGCTCATTTGATTAAAATTTATTAATTCAATGAAGAATATGTTACGTATAATAGTTTAGTAAAAGCCAATTGGTTTGTAATTCTCTTAACCCATACGTGGATTTATCAGATTTTAAAAACTTTCTTGGTCCCTAAAATAATAAAAACCAAATGTAATTTGGTTGGCACGATACAATTTCTATGTGTATACCCATGTAAACTTAAACTAAGGTTAATTAGTTAATGCAAAGGTTCACAAACTGAACAGGAATTTAAGGAATCCGCCGGCGCTTCATCGAGAAATTTTGTTTTGTTTAAATTCGACATAAATATTCCGGCACCGCATTCATACGCGCTGAATAATTAGTACGAATAATTAATTTAATGAGGACGCCATTAGTATGCAAATATCCGGCCTGAAGACCTTAGTTCTTCTGTGAGATGAAATTTTATCGGCCGCTGTGTATACTAGACTTCAGTTAAAGCAAGTTATTTTTTTTACCAAATCCTAGTTTTACTTCTATTAGAAAAAGTAATACCGTGATCAATGTTTTAAAATAGCCCCCGCAATCCCCCGAATTAAATACTATAGAAAACTTGGGGAATAGTAATTTTCTCCGACCCTGTACGTGTAAGCGGCCATAAGAGGCGCAAACAAACGTTAACATGTGCACGTACTACTACCTACTTGAGGCAAATATTTATTTATACGCTAATTATAACTGAAAATGTTATCTTTGGGATAAGACAAATTTAGTTTCGGTAACATGTAAACAACCGGAGTTAGTCGGAGAATGTTATCTTAGGTTAGTAAAGAATATTATCGTTTGAAAGAAATTCCATTAAAACGTCTTGGATATACTTTTAATAATTGAAGTTAATTAAAAACTGATAAAAACAATTATTATTCTACAAGTCAAACAAATTATGGATTTATTTGTAGATAAGAATAAAGAGAAGTTATTTGTTTGGCTTTGAAAATTATTTATACAACTGCTATTTTGTGATAAGGCAGTCTAAAAATAAGTTTAAATCCGATTATTTTTTTGCTCGTTTTCCATCTAATTTTTCTTTACTGTAACACAGTGCGTTAAGTGGAATAACAAGTCGCTTTGCCGACTACTGAATCACCGGAACTTCCAGTCAATGTCCACCCCTTCCCCTTAGTAACAAGTCGTTTTAGTTTTTGCCTACCTTTGTTAGATCGCAGTGGTTAAAGGATAGACCCTAATTGCCTCCAAGCTATTTTATTTTATTTAAGAATGACACGACAAAAACAAAAAATAAGGCTAATTTTATTTGTTAAACATTTAACATCTGTCATCCCGATTTAACCTCACTTTTTCCTAATTTACAATAAAGCTAACTTCAGCCCGTGACTAAAAAGCCCTAAAGCAACTGTTGATAACTTTAGCCCGTGCCTAAAACGCCATAAAGTCACAGATTGTCAATGTAGAAGTAGATTGTAGTACCTGTATTATGTATCAAGTTTTATAAACACCATTTTAGTTAATAGTTTAGTTTAATAAAAACGAGTGTCTAAAGAAGTTTATAAAACTATACATTATCTACGACGAACACAAACAATTTTATTTTTACACAATTGACATCTGTCAACTTTGAACGGATTAACCTTACTTTTCCTTAAATTGATAATAAAACTAACTTAGTTAGTTAGTTAGTTTAACTAAGTAAGCTAAGAGGCTAGTAACATTCTTGACACAACCTTTTTTTTACCTTGGCATTCAAGAATTGTTATTCTTGGGACTTAATTTATGAAAAACGTTATCTATAACTATTTAAAAATACCGACTAAAACGATAAGGAAATAATTTGGTGTGAGAAGTCGTTCTGTTTATAAAAAAATACCTTTTAGTGAATCATAAAATTGTTATGCTGACTACACAAAATACTTCTAAACATGTCGTATTACCACACACCGAAAGTTTTCGTAGTAAGCAAAATCAAGATAATAAAAATAAACGTTAACAATTTTTGTTATTATTCGTTTAAATGGGATTACCTACTTAATTGTGAAAAATATTGGTGGAAACTTTTTTACACATTCATTTTTACTAATATAAACAATAAATTCGTAATTTAATTTATATTTTTTTCGACACGACGTTGATAGATTAACATAATTTATTCGGCACGAAATTTTCGTTGAATTAACGCGTACCAACCACACCATAAAAAAATATTCAATTATATTTTTAGTCACCCCTTAGTAGGTAAATCAGATAAAGATCTTACCGACACTTAATACATATTAATTAATGATGAAAATTTGGATTATAAATAAATAAAATATATATTTTTTAAATGGTTGACAATGTCAACTTGACATACATATATTAAATAAATACATATTCTAAAAAAAAACTGAATCATCATAACCTTAGACAATGCTTTCTTTCCAAGCAAAACCACACTAAACAAACTTGTAAAATTGACAATGACATTTTGGTTCACTTTTGGCACACTTCACTACAATACACAAACATGATCACATGTCTATGATCATAACTTTGTTATTATTGACAAATTTGAAATGTCATTAAAAATTGTTTTCTATTTAGTACCTATAGCTATAAAAAAGTAAATTCAATTTTTAAATCTTGGAATTGAAAAACTAGTCATACATTTTTTATCCCGTGGTATGGCGCAATTTTGGGACACCCTGTAAATTAATTAGAAAACATTTTTTCTTAAATAAATACACAATATTGAAAAATTCTATAACCTTAAAAACTTTACAAAGATTTTAATTTTATAACAATAAAAATAATATAAAATTATGCTGCTGAAACAGTTGAAATTGGCCTTGTCAACATTTCTTTGTTAGCGTTAAGTACACAGTGTATTTTTAGATAAAATGCGCAATGCATTTAACATTGTCCAGCATTAAGAAAGATACGTTTTTCACAATTAGTTAGGCAATAGACTTATTTTCTTTTTATTTTAATGTTTTTTTGATATGTCAGTTTGACAGTTCATTATAATCCCTAAATTATGTTGTAATAGTATTAAAAAATTATATTTTCAGCATTAAAATTTGCATAAAGAAATAACGTAATAAGGGTGTATTTTTCTTTTTTAAGTAAAATCAGGATTTTAACATGAATTCCAAAACAATTTTGCGGCTTACAGGTATCTGCCGCGTAGGTTTAAGAGCAGCGATTATCATAAACTTGATGTTGTTTTTTAATTAAAAGAGCTAGAAGACTTTGCAATCTCTAGCTATAAATTTACATGTAATAAGAAATAAATGCTTTTCATATAAATCTAGGTTTTTACAAGATAAGATGACATTAAAACAAAACATACATGGGTATTTATCTAGTTTATATCAGAATGGATTGTGGTTTATATTGTAATTTTTATGGTTATAAATATACTAAACAACACATTTATAGGTATTACTATGCTCTACTTCAAAAATCCCACTTAAATGTAGTCATGTATTTAAGGTTATGTATCTGTCAGTTTTGTCAATTTCATCCCAATTTTTAAAAATAATTCAATACCCTTTTTGTCTTTATTTATTTATACCTTTAAACAATTAAGTAATAATTAATAGTACCTAATTAATTAATAAAATACCTATTGTATTCTGTTAGGAAAATAAGACAAGAATAGTATTAAAGTTTAAGTTTAATAATTAAACTGACAGATACATAATCTCAATTATTGGACAGCATTTCTTATTTAAATGTCAAGTGGGACTTTTTGATTCGAAGCATAGAATATGCTGCATAGGTAGTACATGTAATAGAGTTTTGCACTATTAAGTTGATAATATTATTTCATAAATTAACAGTAATAAATTAAATTTTATTAAAAAATGGTAAAATTTTGTGATGGTAGACTTATTTTTGTGGCTTAGTTTATTTATATAAAGAATTAAAGGTGAAAAAGAACGTTAAAATAAAGACTCGATTATTTAAATTCAAATTTAAATCATGACCTTGAATAAGATTTTTTAGCCAGACAACGTGCAAAAGATATTGAGTTACACACAATATATTCGAAAATATCTACTGAACTACAAAAATTCACATATTTCCTATATAAATGAGTCATTTAATTCAATTACTCATTCTTTAAAACTGTTGAATTATAATTGTATTTGTAAACCTTTTTTGCGAGGTTTGTTCATTCCCTACCAATTTACAAAGAATTTAATTAAAACCTTTAAAACATTGGCCCGATTTGTTACCGTCATTTATAAAGAACGTTTCACCCACCCTGAACACATCTGTACAGTGGGGGTGGTTTTATTTAATTCAAATTCAAAGTAGAATTTATTTTATTCGGTTAAAATAAATAAAACTGTCCGATTTTAAATGTCTGTAATTTGAATTCAAACAAAGAAAACTTGTAAAAAGTGCAAATTTTGACAGATGTGATGGTTGGAATTGGAACTTTTTGTTTTTATTAATAAAAAAATTATAAATTGAAAAAACCGGCTCCTAAAATGACAATAAAACCGTCAAAATCTCGAAAACTATACAACCCGCCAACTTCAAACTATCCTAGAACGCGAAACAATCTATTTAAAAGTGACTTTCATTGACAAAACTGTTTAAAACTTACCTTTGTAGTAGATATTTCCAGTTTTTTTGGTGCACAAAACTCGATTACACAGATAAACTGCACTATACAGACCAACAACCGACGTACTGAAACGCGCACTCTCGGAAACCAAAATGGCGCTCCCCTACCAAATGCTATTATTTTATTGGCCCATTCAATTTGCGACGCTTTGGAACTGCCAACCTAATTTATTGATAACAACTTTAACGCCACCAAAGCTGCGGTTGTAAATAATTTATCAACTACAAAACAAAGTATGCTTATACATTGGTGTATTAAGTAAATTAAATAAAACTACATTTGTTTTTTCTAAAATTTATTAAGATAAATCAACTTGGTTCTTTTTTGTCTGACAGTTGGTCACTATATAAAATAAAAATCTTAGCATGCACTGCCACCTACTTCTATTTTATCGAAACAATAAAAGTATTCTTTAATCTTTGTCTTGATTCAAATTTAAAATTGAATGTTTGTTTAAATTAAATATAGAACCGGCGTTATGCAAAATACTGTGCGCGATACTTTTATTGTCTCCATTTTCACTGCTTTTCGACGAAGAAGACTCTGAAACTTCTGGTTTTGTTCGTTTTTTCGTCACCCATATGTTGCAAGCGAATATTACTTCTACTTTTAGTGCTTCCCAGTAGCTCATCTGTAAAAATAGGAATATATAATAGCGTAAGACTTCAAAAAATTCTCAAACCTATGTCTTTTAACAGATGTCAGATTGACAGTTTACTAGATTTTAACAGACTACAGTATACTAGATTTTATTTTTATAAAAAGTTAACTGTCAAACTGACATCTGTCAAAAGACAGTATACGTATAAGCACAGAACATAAGTATAAGTACTTACATGTTCTTGAACGGACAAGTTTCTGACATTCCATAGAAATTCCATTATGGCTAATACGATTGCTATAGCAACTCCTATCACTAATACCAAAAATACACCTCCCACATTTGCTAGGGCTAGTTCTGAAGAGTTGCCTCCTCCACCGTTTATGTCCTAAAATTATAAAATTATACCTATATTATGTTATTAAAAATTATTAAAATAATAAATAATTTAACAAAAAATCAGAGAATTGTATGGCACGCCGTTTTAACATTTATTAAATTTTTAATTTAAAATTTTATTGGTTTAAAATTTTCCTAACTTAAAATTTTCGGTTTACATTCATAAATTTAAATTTTCTTTAACTATTATGTATTGAAAGACAAAATTTACTAACTAATAGTTCACTTCTGTATTAAACAATATTATTTTTTTTCAAGCGGCCATGATATACAACCTTATATGCATGTATAGAGATAGTTGAAGTGCGTCTTTTTCATTAGCGGCAGACAAAAAACTCAAAAAAGCCTAGGGATAGAAGTAAATCCATAGGTGACTCAATAAACGTCAAATAATAAAATTAATTTAGCATTTCATACAAAGCAATCACGATGTATTAATTATATTAATTATAATCGCACGGAATATTTAGTGATTATTTATTAAATTTTAATTGAACGAAATAAAGAAAAACTAGTTTATTAGTATAATATTATGATGATAGACGAGTCGCCAATGTCGAAACTTCAAACAAATGTCAGTACGTCAAAATTAATTCAAGCGCAGCATTTTGACAGAGCAGTGTTTAGTTTTAATTTCGGATATTTATCGGCATTGTAAGTAAGGTTTATTAGTTTTTTTAGTTTTTATCAATAATTTCTAATGCTTTTAGCCAAAATTTTATCCCACACGAGTTATGAGTAAAAAAATAATTCTATTGCTTATCCTATTTATATTATGCCCTTGAAAAAAAATTGTATATGTTATTTGGAGTAGAAGCTCTTTTTGTGCTTCGTACAGTTGCCTGCCTCAGCTACGTACGCTTCGGCCGTCAATCTATGTACTCACCACAAAAAGAGTCACTTCTACTCCTTATAACATAATCTACTATTCTAATCAATTTTTGCAAAAATGTCTAACTATAATTTTTTAATCAAAATAATTTCTTAAAGGTAGGTAGGTATAATTTATTTGGGCAAAATTTTGTAAATCCTAATTAAATTTTTTATAAAATTATTCAGATTAAATTGCTAAAGTTAATTTTTTTAGTATTTAAAAATAGGTAGAACATTTTCTACCAAAATAGTTTAAAAAGTTAATTTTTTTAATCTCAAAACAATTGATAATCAAAAAATATTTTAAATATTATATGCAAATGTAAAAGTTAAAGTTTAAAATATTGGATTTTAAAAATTGTAGTTTTATTATTTTATTCTACAAAATTATTGCTTTTGCTTTAAGTTTGTAAAGAGTCGTTTAAATGATAGTCGATAAATATGTGGTAATTTTTGGGTTAAAAATTTATCGACTATAATTTAAATTTGAGAAATTTAAACCAATAACTTAATTGACAAATTGTAAACGCTGCTTTAGCTGACTGCATATACTGCAGACTTCGCGCTTTGTACGTTTCAGCGAATATGGACTATGCTCACAGAGTAGTCTCCTCTGTGACAATGCTTAAAATTGACCACTTGACCATGATATCCCAAAATTTAACAGCCAATTCTTATGTAAAATTGTCCCCTGAATCCGAAAATCTCGTCAAAAGTTAAAAAAAGTAAAACAGTTTTTGAGATATAGTCAATTTTCCATTTAATATGGAATTGACTTTATCTCAAAAACTGCTCCACTTTCATAATTTTTTACGGTATTTTCGGATTCAGGGGACAATTTTACATAAGAATTTTGGGATAGCATGGTATTCCATGCATGGTTAACCATGGTACAAGTGAAAAAGAGCCACTAATAATAATTATTATTAGTGGCTATTAAATTAGTCATTTATTAGTTATCTATTAAATTAGTTAGTTAACTATTAAGTTAGTCATTTTTGACAAATTCATTTTTAGAGAGTATACTATAGAACGTACGTACGCCCTCTGCTAAACCTACGTTTACACTTTGTGAATTAAAACATTATCGACTATGTAAATTTAAATGTAAATGTAAATCGACTATTTAAATTTAGTTTTTATTTATATTTTGTTTGAGTTAAATATCTTATTTTTTATACTATTTTTTTATTTTAACGAATTTTGATATATAAACAAACTTTATTATCATGAAAAAACGCAGTTTTAGTGTCGCACCCGTTACAATGGAAATACCCAAATGTAAAGTTAAAAATTTTGTGTTAAAAATGTATCAATTTGGAATTGTTAAAAATAAAAAGTTTTGGTTTAAATTTGTAGTCATTTAAATGCAGTGGCGGATTTAAGAAAAAAGGCCCAGGCGGCAAAGTTTTAAATTCATGGTTAAAGAAATGATAACATTTTAGCTGGGGGGCCTTTCTGTTAGAAACACTTTAAAATTTAAAACTTACATTTAAATGTTTAAATGTTAAAATTTTTGTATTAAAAATTTATCAACTCTCATTTAGAAATTTAAACAGAAAATTTTGTAGAATAAAATATTTGAACTAAAATTTTTGAAAATCAATATTTTTAAGCTTAAAGTTTTACAGGTGTATTTTATATTTTAAATATTTTTGGACTATCAATTGATTTGAGTTTAAAAAATTTAACTTTGTAAATTTCTGTTAAGAATTAGATTGCTAAACTTTAATCTTCAAACTATTATCTAATAAATGCTAAACGGCGTTCCATCTAAAACATTACTTTTTTTCTTATTCTCTTTTATAGAAAAAACAAAAATTTTAATTTAAAAAAATAGAAAATATTTGTTTAAGATTGCAATTTTTTAATTTTTTTTTTCTTCAAAATAATAAATTGTGGTTTTTATGTTAACATGTTTCTAACAATTTCTAAAAATTTATAAAAAATTGTATTTTTTTATTTATACAGGGCATCTCGAAAATGGCGCGCTAACGGTGTGTAGGGAAGGATATTTTAAGTTTAAAATACTTGGCAACGCTGTGCTTTCCTAGCAACGGTTGCTATGGAAACAAAATAAACAAGCACTTTTTATTCTGTGATAAGCAAGAAGACTAGTTTTTGTGAAAATAAGCATGGTTGAAAGATTTTGACAGTTAGCTTTTTTAAAATCTTTATAATTTTTTTTTAGAATTTTTAGATTTTTTATAGTATATAAATCCCAATATTTTTTAAATAACAATACTCTTAATAATATAAATTAAAAACCAACTTACATCACAAGAAGGCTCATCTCTTTTATCTTTCCACCATTTGGTTTTCAAAGTCTGCAATCTCCCTTCTTCCTGCATCTTTAATACTGCTTTATTTATCTCACTTCTATACGGGGAGTCTAAAAACAACCAAACTATAAAAACATTTAATCAAAACCTATAAAACTTACTCATTGGCATAGCAATCCCATAACCCTTAGAATCCAACCAAGTTCCTACTTGCTTCAACTCGCACTTCGTCTGCACAAAATACTCGATCTGCGAGGACTCCATCAGAAAAGCATACAGTCCATTCTTGGTAGTCAACACTCTATTAACCCCATCCTCATTGTTGTCCTCAAACACACTGGGCTTATTCGTATCCATAGAAATCCACATACGTTGATACGTCGAATAGTTCGAATCCCTGAAGAATGCCTGAGTTGAACCTCCATTCACGGTGCCGTATTTGATTTTGGTTTGTTTGGATAGAGCCTCTGCACTGTCTATCGCTGGCTCCATTCTTTCCATGGTCAAAAAAGCTGCCAGATTGGCTGTGTAGGAACTCGTCATGATCAAGGAGAAGAACCACCACATAGATGTGGCCATTCTCGAAGAAAAACCTCTAAATAAATTGTTAAGATTTAATTAAACTGTACACCGTTATAAAAATTAGATTTGTTAAAATAAGTTTGTAATATTGTAAAATTTTAACATAACTTTTTGTAGAACACCTGGGTTTATAATTATTTGAACAAATGAAAATATTTTACCGAAAGTTTTGTAGAGGTAATATGCAATTTTGTGAGCATTTTGTTAATTTCAAAGGTTACAGATTATTTTGTTAATGTTTAACAAATTATTTCGTTAAAAAAGTACACGTGATTTCAAGCAGTCAATCAAAACATTTCCCACGGACAATACGCATCAACAAGTTCAACTGACTTCAGCGTCTGCAACTTATGTTTCTGCTTACTTTATTCTAATTCGTAACGTGTTCGTAACAACTGTCTAGAGTATTTATAATATAAACTGCGCACCATGGTGCACTCAATGTGTCGCGACCAAAACGTTCGTCATTTTTTAAAACGACATAACTTTTTTGTTTCTTAAACGATTCTATTTTTGTCTGTGATTTCTGCTAGCCCCATCCTCTGGCAATTCATGCTATAGATATGAAGCTCCCCTAATTCACCGAACGGTCAATTTACGTAAATTTTGCGTTGATTTCATAAATTTTAACGCAAGTTGCCATTTTTTGAGTTAAAATATTGGATTTTAACGTATAGTTGGCGCAAAAAAATTGCGTTAAGTTGAGCCAAAACGTAACTCAAATTTGACTAAAATTTAACGTAAGTTTTGCGATAACAACAAAAAAATTAACTATAAATAGACTTAAAATTGATTGATTAGGTAACCGATTTTACTTTTTTGTATAAAATATTTGCGTTGAATTTGCGTTTATTTTGAGTAAATTTTGACTTTTTGGTTAGGTTACCGATTTTCTTCAAATATTTTTTGTATAAAATATTTACGTTGAATTTGCGTTCGTTTTGAGTCGATTTTGATTTTTACATTAATTTCTTAGTTGTAAATAACCATTTAGAAGAAAATATATAATAATTTTTTTATTTTTTGTTTTTCAGATATGCCTTTGGGAGTTCAACGCATGAGAGCTGGCTTCGCAATTTAAATAATTTATTTTTTGTTTACTATTATATATAGTAATATATGTAGGAGGTATATGTAGTGTATATGTATTATAATAAATTATTTTTATACTTTAAAATAGAGTTTTCATTAAAATCCCAGCTTAAAAAAAACATGGACTGCGTCCCTGTCACGGTTGAGGGTGGTTAACCGTTTTGTAGCAAAGCTTAAGGTAAGTCTATAAAAAACGTGTTATCAATTAATCAATATAAATCAACCCTAAAATGTTAATATAGTTGATGGCAATAAGTTTAATTTGGGTTAAGAAATAAAAAACTTATCACAAATATTAAGTTTCGATTCATTTAACGTAAAATATTTTACGTTAAATGAATCGAAACTTAACGCAAACTTAACTTAAAGTAGACTCAAAGTTAACGGAAAACTGACCCAAATTAAACGCAAGCCTATCTCAAAGTTGACGTAAATTCAACGCAAATTCAACGGAAATTTAACTAAAAATAAACTCAAACTTAACACAAAATCCTAAATCGGCACAAAACTGCAAATAATTACGTCGAATTTGCGTTAAGAAACGAGATTTTAACCCAAAATCAACGTTAATTTTGAGTTAATTATGGGTGATACTTGGGCGCTACTTAACGTTAATTTTGCGTTTAGTGAATTCGCCAGGGTCACGGTTCTTCAATTAAATTTCCTACAGGGTGATATGTTAAACGGTGAAAAATTTCAATAACTTCATCCAAGCCCCGTTTGAAAAAGAAATATTTTTTCTCGTTTTTACTTTGAAATAATGAAGTATATAATATATTATGTCTTACCTTGAAAAGGTTTTCAAATTTTTCGAATTGGAATCTTAGCAACGAAAATATGATTTTTTTTTCAAAAGAGTACATTTAAGGGTTTTTGGTAGGCAATATGCTCAGTATTTTTAAGAACAAGAAGATAAAATGGTGAAAGATTGTTCCTTGAATAATTTTGAACAAGCGACAAGCAACAAACTTCCATTATTTTCAAAGGGGACTAAGCAAAGACCACTTTTTCAAAATGACATTTTGGTGAAAATTTGCGAAAACTAAACCTGAACCGATATTTACGTTCGTGACATGTTGTCTTTATAATTTTGCAGTGCCGGTTTTAAGTTAGTTCGCCGCCCGGTTCTGGCACAAACACAACGCCCAATGCTTTAAAATATTACTTTTTTAAAAACATTTTTAAATTTTTAAGTCTTACTTTCTCACGTCAAGTGGAAGATTAGGTTGGTTAGGCTGGTATCTAACAGTAAACTTAGTATCCTATAAAATATAAAATGAGCCTTTATAAACAAATTATAAAAACTAATCAAAAGCACTAACTATAGATTGTCAATTATTAAAATAAAACATATTGTTCACATTGTTTTTTTTTTGCTTAAACTTGCCTCTGAATTATTTTCTTCAAATTGTAATTTTCTTATGATTATCCGCTTCTGAACATAATTTTCGTTTCCTGTTAATTTCCTCGTAATGATCAAAATGATCACGTAAAAAATCAAAGTTCTCAACTAAAAATGACAAAAGATGAGCATTTGTGCTTAAATCCATATTTTGTGTTTGGACTGCTTTATTGGTTTCATTAACCCTTTGCAAAACGTCTATCCAAAAAGTTAAAATTATTCCGATTCCAATAAATCAAGTTTTTCTGATGGAGAAGCTGCTTCAACTCTAACAACATTTTTCTCATTTGTATCCGTTGTATCCGCCGTCGCAGTGTCGCAATAATTTTTTTTCTAAATCCAAACGATTAAGTATTTTTTTTTTAAATTATGGGTGGTACCCGGTACCGCCCCAAAAATATTTACCGCCCGGTGCTAAAGTCCCCAAAAAAACCCTGTTAAACCGGCACTGCCTGATTGTGCTTCAGTTGTCAAATTTAAGTTTCAGATAAAACCAAAATCACCAAAAATCAAAATTCGAAAACAATTCCTGGCTGTTAAATGGAAAATAAAATAGGATTGCTGGTTTTTACTATTTTTTTTTAGTGGTGCCCAGAAATCTGTTATTATTGTTATTCGGATTCAAGAAATTTGTGGGAAATTAGCATAAACTACATTTTTATAAAAAGCAGTAGCAGTAACTCAGTGTACTTTTGTTACTGGGTCTACAAAATTTAATAAGGTCCTTTTTGATAATTACCAAGAATTATGCTTGAATTAATATGTACTATAGGATTTTGTTATTAAATCTACAAAATGTTTCATATAATTACAAACTAAACTTATCATAAAGTTATGTGGACCTGGATTAACATTAAATCTGGTAAATATTTGGTTAAAATTAACAAATATTTTTTTACTGTGTACGTATGGCTTATGAAACTATACTAACTTTGGTAGAATATCACAACATTAAATCTGGTAAATATTTGGTTAAAATAAACAAATATTTTTTTACTGTGTACGTATGGCTTATGAAACTATACTAACTTTGGTAGAATATCACAACCCTGTGTCATTATAGATCCCATGGTCAACCAAAGACAATTTTTTATATCCCATATGTTTTCTAACTCTTCTGGATTTTCATCACATGGATGTGGGTTTTCCCAATCTCCTGGAGCCATTCTACAAACTAAATGTTAGATTTAAAATGGTACAACTTAAAGTATTTACCTAGCAACAAAATAAAGAATGACTGAAACAGCCAAATATAATGTGGCAGTGTATATCCACACTGATATCGAAAAAGGATCCAAAAAGGCGAACATGTTGACTTCCTTTTTGGCTTGCTTTTTGTGTAGAATACTAATTCCCAATGTCATAAAAGGCATACTAAAATCTACCACTTCCCTCCGCATATGGTTTATAGTTAAATCGCAAATAGCCAAATGAGCCCTCTAAAAAATACTCTTAGTTGAATAGTACAATAATAAATAAATTTAATAGTTTTACTCTTTCTATGACTTCTCCAATTACTCCATTCCATTTTTTAGTGATTGGGTCAGGTTTACCATAGTCCTTTACTATTTTAAATTCAAAAGTAAAGTTTAGAATTTCTGCTATGCCAGCTACAAGGTCCATAGCGTAGCCCTCGTATCTAGCATTTCCAACTAATTGTTCACCTTCATATTGTTTCTTTCGTTCTGCTAAATATGGTCTTCCCAATCTAAAAGAAGAAGATTGATTCATTTTTTAAACTCAAAGAATCTTATTTAACCTTGAAGCGACTATAACAACGCTCTTTTGCAAGTTTTCAATAATCATTTGAGTATTTTCCTCTGAATTCCTGCTTAAATTTAACCCCTTTGAAGGACTCCATATCGAGATGGTTTTGTTTTGTGAAATATCAACACAATTTATCTGGAAATCGATTCTTCTTCCAAAATCGTCAAACTTTAGAGGACCACTAAGACTTTCTTTAGACGGTTGTTTCTAAAATTATGTTTTTTAGATTGCACTAGTCTACAAAGTTTTAACGACATTCTTTTTTTGAATTAAGACTTTATCTTTTTGGAGGTTTTTGAAGCACTGAATTCAAACATCTTAAAATTGCTCCATAACATCAGTTTTAAATACGATTAATACCTTTTGGTACGTAAAATTAGGATTTAGCACGTCAATAACCTGGTTTTTGTTGAAAAGTTGATAAATTAAGTATGATTTACTTACAATTCTCATAAAATTACTTATGGCGAAACCATCTGGCCATTTTTCTGTTTCGTTGCAAATTATTGGTTTTGTGTGGTGAAACTGAGTAAGTTGCAATGCGTTTAACGTATCTATGAACAACAGTATTGCATCATGGGTTAGAATACTTTCAGTCTAAAAAAATGTATTAGTAGAAAATTTACTTGTATGTGAAGCGGCATGGTGAAATTCGTTTACATTCGACCTAATTATTACACTATAGTTTACAGCCATTTTGCCCACCATGTCTCACTATGATTTTCTTGTGTAGTTTGGCTCACTAAACGCGAAAATCACACAATTTTTTTTATGGAAGCGTTTTCGAGATATTTTCTGGTGTTTTGACGTTTTAAAGTATACCTACTTCGAGTTCTAATTGTTCGATTTGACCAAACAAGCACTTAAATCAAAGGTAATGGAGCACTCTACATTTTTCTCTTCTTTAGTTTTAGTATCAGATCAGTAGTTCGATACTGGCGATTTTTTGAAGTTGAAAAATTCCTTATTTTACAAAAATCGAGGTCGAAAATGTACATATCTTTCTGGGAAAGATAGAAATCGAAAAGATAATTCCAGTTTGATTTATTTTACGTATAGATTATACTTAAAGGAAAAAAAATAAGCTGCTGTTTACAAAAATCCATGGATAAATGGCGAAGTTATGAATTTTTCAGTGAAAGACCAAAATTCTGTTTCTCGAGAATTTTTACGTTTTTTCTTCATTTTATTGAATTATATAAAATTTAATATTGAAGATTGATTTTTATTTTAAACAATAAATATTAAAATTAAATTATATATTGAATATTACAATAAATATTGAACATTAAAGATATTGAAAGTTTTATTTCGTTGTAATAAGCATAGGTTTAAAAAAATTCTGGATCCTTCTTTGTTTTTTGTTGCTTTTGTATTCTGTTTCTCCATAGCTACATCCCAGAAGCCGTGATACCGCCGCTCCATATATAGCCTTCATTTGCTGGTGAAAACGTTCTCCGAGCTCATCACTTACGTCGCGACGCGTCGCCCAGATTGTCCGGGTTATTTGCGCACTCGAACTCTCTTTTTCTTTTACTCGTTTTATACTTTTTATTAACTAAATAAAACCATGATAAAAATACCTTGTTAAAATATCAAAAAATAGCAGTAAAATGTCACTATTCCAACACGAGAAACAAAAGAATTCGCGTTTGCGGAGTCATGTTAAATTTAAATTTTGAATAATGTTTTCGTTGAAAAAAGTACGTAAAAAACTCAAAAAATTTCTTTAATTAGGTTTTCATTAAAGAATAAACATATTACAAAATAAAATAAAAATCGTCAAAAAGCTGTATTTTGGTCTTCCACTAAAAAATTCATAACTTCGTCATTTTTTTATGTATTTTTATTAACATTACCTTGTTTTTTTTTGTAAAAATGTAAGCTTCACGAAAAAAATATCAAACTGGAGTTATCTGTTTGATTTAAACGTTTCCCAGGACGATATGAAAATTTTCGACCTCAATTTTTGCCATAAAAACGATTTTTTTAAGTTATTAAAATCGCTAGCGACAAAATACTTATCCGATATCAAAAGTATGTAAAAGAAAGTTTTAGAGGGCCCAAATACCTTCAATTTAAGGGCTTGTTTGATAAAATCAATCATTTAGATTTCAAGCTATACTCAAAAACGTAAAACATCTCCGAAAATTGAAAAAAAAACAACAATGTGCAAATAACTTTGGACAGATTTTTTTTAAATGCTTGAGCTCTATTAAAATTAATTATAATTATAATTAAGTTATATTAATTATATTATATTAACAGTTATATTAACATTAGATGTTTACTAAACATTGTTTAGATGTGAATAGATGAAATATAAAATGTTTACCAATATCGATGCTGGATTTAAAGATATTCTTCTTCCTTGATGATACTCCATCAATTCCCAATTTTTTATAGCATCTTTAAAAGCGTGGGTTTGAGTGTCAAATAGTCTTACTGTTGTAATATTAGCTCGACTGTTCAGGGAAGTCAGATCCAATGTATGCGCATCCTATAAAGGCAAAATATAATTATTGGATGCATTATTTAAAATGTTTAAGACCCTAAATTTGTACTATGTTTTACCAAATGAGTCAGGAAAAAGCTATGGAATATCTCCAACATATTGACTTCTTGTGCTTGCTGTAAAACTGGTATTATCTTCGAGAGATGACAATCTAATATAACTCTTGTTATAGATGAGGTTTCTATATCTTTTAACAAAGGTCTAAAATACAAAAACAATAAACAAAATTACGCAAATACTTCCCTACCTACCTATAATCTTCTTTTGACCCAAGCTGCTTAAACGTTATACCAATCTTACTCTCCTCATCATACTCCTGTAGCTTCAAAACTTCTTGAAGCTTAATCAGCGCTTCTTCAGTCTCATATACAATCACGAATTTTTCCCACTGCAAGCTTCGAACGATTTCGGCAAGACCTTGAGAGAACAGATCAGCTTCGGGAAAAAAGTTTACCACTGTTGAGGACAGGGGTGAGCCAGCAGGTTTCCAACTTGTTTGGATGTGTGGTATTTCGAAAAATGATGTCATTGATTGAATGATGGCTGAGCATGTAGGCGAAGCTGGACCAAAAACAGCTGCGATGCCTTTTTCTGAACCAGCTAGTTTACATACTAAAAAAAGATTTAAATTTAAAAAAATATTAATTGTGTTTTATTTTACTTACGCAACTGGCTGCAGGCGAAACTATCAGCTTTCTCCATGTTATGAGAAAATACTTTGTAAAAAAACTTTTGATCTATTATATTTTTGGCATACACCATGCTACGCACAGGCATTTCCGCTTGGCTATCTTTTTCATCGAAAAGTGCAGCTAAAATAGTAAATTAGTAATACATATTTTTCTTCATGGACACATTTTTATATATTTTTATGGATGCATCCATCGTGATAAAAAGTGTACGTAAATTTTAAATATTTTTTAAAATATCGCAATTTTCTCTATGACAGCCATAGTGGAATTTTACATGGTTAGATAGAAAAAAATCGAGTCCTACGATGTATCATAAGTTATGGCGGCCATTGTAAAAACAAAAGATGGTAATGGTTACTCAAGCAATTGTAGCTCTTGCTACAGAGATACTTAGTGCACCCTGTATAATAAAGTGTTTAAAAGTTTCTTATAAAATATTTTTTTTATTCCAAAGAAAAACAAAAAATAAATATTCGTAATGAATGAGTGATTTTTAAATTTATTAAAATTTACAATTGAAAAACTACTAGGTATACCTTTTCAAGTTCAAATTGGGAATAAACAAAATTAAATTGGAAATATTCAAACTTAATGTGGTACCTACTAATTAATTTCTAATTGCGACTAATCAATTTTTATTTGGGAAGAAACAAATTCCAATTGGGTATCTACAGTGAATTAAAGGCCACATTACGGTCAAGGAAGTAATATAGTGAGAAGTGATAAGTGACAGCATACCTAGCGGATGAACCACCTGACAATAGAAAGCATTTAATGTAAAGAACAAACGAGACTAACCAAGAGTGAAAAGGACCATCAGCTGCAAAATTCGAAGTACTGACCGCATGACCTAATACTTTAATTTGCAACATTAACTACGTTCAGATACCTACACAACTTTTTCTGCTTAAACACAACCCTATAGTTAAAAAAAACAAAGTAAGATAAAGAGCAACAGCAACATTAATAATAAGACAATAGTAACAAAACAAAAAATGCGAATATTAACAAAACAATACAAAAAACTATAAAACCAAGCTATTTGCACCCAGCAAACACGGGTGAAGCCGTGCAGTTGCTGGTGGCGGAAAAAAATCGGCGTAGGGTAACACTCATATTAATGAAGAAGGGAATTAAAAAAATAATAAGATGAGATCAGGTATACAGGGTAAAACATATATATATAAAACATATATGTTTTATAAGAAATATCATTTTATTATATTTTATTATTACATACAACATTTCATAAAAAAAAATTAAAACCAAATTATATTTAACAAGACAAGTAAAAAAAAACTATTTAAATTTGAATATTATTCATGTTTAGGGCATTAGGGATAAAGCGTTGAATATGAGCTACATAATATTATACACTGTTTAAAATATCTGTGGTGTAAAAAGTAATCTTAAAATGGTGTACCGATCGCGGCAAAGGCGGTGTGGATCACGTGATGTTCTTAAATCTCGCCTCTGTTGACTTACATGAAGAATATATAAACTTAGGTGGTCCTTTGCTTTGGTGTGACACTACAAGTTGTTCGATACTAAAGAGACCTTAAATAGGTGGAAACAGCTGTCAATACTTGAAGTATTTTAAGTTAGTGGAACGCACTAAAAACATTATCTCTAGCGAGTTGAAGGTTCCATTTCCTGGAATAATACCACTGGTAATATACTAGTAATGCTTCAAGGAACTTCCTGTTTCCTTTTTTTTTCTTTTTTCTGTGTAGTATGATTTAATTTGACCACAAACACATAATATTTAACACTGAAAAGGAGTTCAATTTACACCCGGTAAAATTTATTTTAATACTGTGTGAAAGTTAAATTAACACCATTTTAGTTTTTGAATTTACACCGGCCAACGTACCATATTTAACACCATTTTGGTTTGTATCGATATAGACCATGTATGGTGTTAATTTGGTGTTAAAATGGTCATGAAATTTTGAACTGTGTATTATGTAGCTCATATAGTACATATCTGACACATTTATTTATGTTAATTGTTATTGTTATGTTATTGCGATTGATATTAGTTTTTCTTGTGGATTTAGTGCGCCTTTGTAGGACCCTGTATATTTTATATACCCATATTATAATTCAAAAGTAAAAAGTCAACAAATATTTTATTAGTAAAAAATACAGTGTTTTATATTTATGTTTTAAACACAAACACAAATTTTCAAGAAAATTGAACCCCAGAAACCGTCTGAGGGAATCTCCCACATACTCAACACGATAAATATTAGTAAATCTATTTTTAAAATTAAAAAAACACACTTTCGACTTACCAATCGTGATGGAATCTTTGGCCAAACACAAATAATTATAAGCCGCAAACATCAAAACCCAAATAACATTTTGCACGGCAATCTTCATGATTAAAACTTTTTACAAAACAATAAATAATAAATCCTCAAACACCGAAAACTGGAAAATAAAGCCGAACAAGCATCTCGCCGCATTCGGTTTACGATCTAAATAAAAAGCAGTCAAATAAACCAAGCATGTGAATTTGGGCTGCAGCCAGATCGACTTAAAGACAAAAATAGAATTTCCAAGTAAATAGAAGTTAGTACTCTCTTAGGGTTTATAAATTTACTAACACAATAACACAACCAAATGTTTGTATAGGTATTTAAGTTGAACTAGGTATAAAAACTCTATGCCAAAAAGTTTGTAAATAAACAATACAATAGTATAATAAGCAAAGGGTTACAATGGTTTATTATTTTTAAAGTTTCATCCATATTGGATACTAAAATTTCATTTCAACCAAAGGAAAAAAATATATTAAAGAATCTACTAGTATTAATTAATTTATTCTTTGTCATCGATATTTTCATTTGATCCGTTTTTATTATTTTCATTTACTAAAGTAACACCATTTTGCAAAATACTTTTGCTATCTTCTTTTGTTGATCCATCATCCGACGTTTCTGGTCTTGTACGTTTTTTGGTTATCCAAACGTTACAGACGAATTTTAGTTCCATTTTTAAGGCATCCGAGTAAGTCATCTGAAAAATTATCTTTAACAACACGGTTTGTATTTCTAAAGTACCTAATTTTTCTTTTTCTACTCTCTAAAAATGAATAAGTCAGAAATGAATAATTTAATAGTTATTAGTGGCTACTTTTTCACTTGTACCATGGTTAACCATGGAATACCATGGTATCCCAAAATTTAAGAGCCAATTCTTATGTAAAATTGTCCCCTGAATCCGAAAATACCGTCAAAAATTATAAAAGTGGAGCAGTTCCATATTAAATGAAAAATTGACTATATCTCAAAAACTGTTCTACTTTTTAACTTTTGACGACATTTTCGGATTCAGGGGACAATTTTACATAAGAATTGATTCTTAAATTTTGGGATACCATGGTATTCCATGGTTAACCATGGTACAAGTAAAAAAGCAGCCACTAATAACTATTCTTATGTAATCCTGAATCCGAAAATACCGTCAAAATCTTATAAAAGTAGGGCAGTTTTTGAGATATAGTCAATTCCATATTAGATGGAAAATTGACTATATCTCAAGAACTGTTCAACTTAAGTTTTGACGATATTTTTGTATTCAGGGAACACTTTTACATGGAATTTAAATTGACTGCTAAATGTTCGGGATACAAATTGCTATTGACGAGAATTATTAGTGGCTGCTTTTTCATTATGACAATTTTTTACTAATTCATTGTCAGTGATTATACTTAACGTCTAGGGCCGCTAAAGTCTTTTACCTCGTCATCGTGCTTTTGTTTCAAGTGTGCTTTCACAAACAGACCGCCTGTTTTGGTCTTTTGGACCTTATCAGTACTTGGTAGCCATGTGTTGTGCTGCTCTTAGCCGTTATAAAGCACCCAGATACAGCGACAGCGGTGAACGAAAGGTAATCACCCCATCTACCGTCCAGAGGAAGTGTCACAAACTAGGTGTGTTGCAGAATTCTGCATCACATCATACCGAGAGTAAAAAATCACAATCCACTTACGGTTGCTTTATAACGACTAAGGTCAGTTTGTTTTGAGTGCGCCTACACACCACGTGTCTACCCGGCACTGATAAGGTTCAAAAGACCGAAACGCCTTAAAACAAAAGCACAGTGACGAGGTTAAAAGCCAGTGTACCCAACTTTTGGTGCTGATCACGAATATGCAGTCCATTTTTCGTTATAAGGTCAGATTTTGAAGTAAACTAATTAGTAATTTTGAACAATTTATTAATTGTCATTTTATTTTAATAAGAAAACTAAAAATTATAAATAAGTTGTATTAAAAATGCGACATTTTTATTTTTTGTTTCCATTCGACCTATGAAAGACCAAAAATAACACAAAATGTAACCAACATTCAATTGTTGAAATCCGACTGATTTCGATTCCGACATCCGAATTGCTCCTTCACGTAAGGTTTTTAAGAAATTCTTACCCACAATTTAAAAAAACGCGTTTCGTTACATCACGAAATATTTTTTTCCACATAATGCCATCTTAAGATTAATTAATTAATTAAGATTAATTAAAGTGCCAAAACAGACGTGCACTTGAACAGACGTAAACTCGAACACTCTTAATACCTTATCAAAAAAAAAGTATTAAATAAACAAAAAAAATCTCAGGAAACATTAACTATGATTTCGCGAAAGAATCGAACGATTTTGGGGTATTTTTTTATAACACATCTCAGATTTTTTTTATATTTTAATATTGTGTTTATACATCTAATTCCAACCTAAATCTAAAATTTTTCTTTTATCTGACCTAAACTTTGGCTCCCAGAGACCATCTAATTTTACCTTTCGCAAAAAGCCATAATTTCATTATATTAGCATAATTTTTTTATTAAAATACTGAATGTTTTGAGATGTGGTCCATAAATGACCCTTATTAGTACCTACAATTCTACCAAAAAAAAAATTAAATTTTTTACATATAGGTGGCGCTGCAATTTTTTCTTCTTCAAAAATAGACGTTTTTTGAGGACCAAAAACTCTCTTAAGCAACAATGCTCAAAAAAACTAAATAGTATACCAGATAATATACATATTCCTTTATAATTTGATATATAAAAATTTACTTGCAAATGATGTTGCCGCCCGTAAAGCCAACTTAAAGTTTTGTTTACCGCATTAAAAAAAATTGAATTACACTTACAACTTTATTATTTATTAACTAAGGAATTCCAGGAGATTACTTTTATTGGTAACAATAACACAGCAAAAAAAAGTTTTATTTTTTCACACCCAGGGGGCGCTGCAGCCTTTTTTCTTTAAAAACTATATAGCATTTCAGATAATATAGTTATGTATTCCTTTATTATAAAGAGTTACGTATTCCATTATTTATTTAATAGGTTTGTTCTTTATTTTATTTATTATGTTTTTCTTTATTATTATTATTGATATTACTATTTCTTTATTATTTAACATATAACAATTTATCTGCAAGATTTGCATATATTAAATAATAAAGATATATCCTAATAATTATTATAATAATAATAATTATTACCTTTACATTAAATTTTAAACTTGTTGGGCTCTAAGGGGTATATTCGCTAACTTTTTAGTTATAAATAACCCTGGTTTATATCCTACTGGCTGGTTCAAATCTCTAGAGCGATTCTCAGAATCAGTCTAGATATTTTAACCAGGGTTATTTATAACTTAAAAGTTACTTAGGCCGCAAAGGAACTACTTTAAAATTGATAAAGCTTCAAAAAAACTTCCGCTTCTGGGCTAATTTCTTCAATTTCTTCCGGCAAATTTTTAAATTTTCTTTTTCTATTTTTGCTTAACCTTCTATCTGACGATAATCTTGATAATAAGCCGCGTATCTGATTAGGATGCATATACTCGTTTGAAGAAAACTAAAATTTGCCATTTACTTCATAATTTTGTAAAGCTGTTGCTATATATTCAGGCGTATATTTTAGTTTTTTCACCTTCTTCAAAAAGGTTGCCAACAAAATCTTTTTGTTTTTCATTAAAACGTGATTTTTTAATTTTGCGCCTTCCGAACCCTTTTGCATATACTCGAAAAAACGTATTTTTATCTTCTTCATTTGGGCATATATTGACGGTAGATATTGTTGAACTAGTTGCAGTTAAAAAAAACATCTTTTTGTTTTAAAAATTCCATTCTAGCAACATCACCTATAGTTTGTCTAATTTCAGGAAATTTATGATTTTGAAATTTAAGGTGGTTTAGAAGATCATCTTTATTTTCAAAAACCCTACTGCAAAGTAATTCGTCGCACCTATATTTAATTGCTTTTAAATTATTTAGATTTTCCTTTTGTCGACTCGATGATGTCCAAGGAACTTTTATGTTTACTCCAGAAGAAAATTCAATTCCTAGAATTTTGATTTACTTAAAGAAAATTTATTAACTTTGCGTACCTTTAAAAGCATGATATTTTCCCTCTCCAATTTCAACTTAAATTTTAAATGTTATTATGGTTACCATTTGACAGTAACTGTCAACTGTTGGGGTAACTTGATTCCCAGCCTATAGGCTTGACTTTAGTTTAATTTTAAAGTACGATAATAAAGAATGCTTTGCCTCTCGAAATATACTAAAATATATTTAAACAAATGGTCATATTACTATTACTATTACTATAGAGTCACTGAAATACTTGTTACCATTTGTAATTAAAATTTCTTTGGTTTTGTTACCTTTTGTCCGCATACAACAATAAAAGCGAAAAAAGGCGTTTATATAACAATATGCGGGTACGTGCACTAGTTATAATTTTAATCGTCCCTACAACAGGCATTAATTATTGCAAATAAATTTTTATATGTCAAACAATAAAAGAATATCTATATTATCTGATACATTATAAATAATGTCATTAGTTTTTTAAGCAATGTTGCTTAAGTAACTTTATGGTCTTTATAAACGTCTATTTTTGAAAAAAAGGCTGCAGCGCCCCCTGTATATAAAAAAATAAAACTTTTTTTTGTTGCGTTTTAGTAACCAATAAAAGCCATCACCTGGAGTTCCTTAGTTTAAAAATAAGGATAGAGTTGAAAGTGTAATTCAATTTTTTTTAATGCGGTAGACCAAACTATAAGTTGGCTTTACGGGAGGCAACATCATTTGCAAGTAAATTTTTATATGTCGAATTATAAAGGAATATCTATATTATCTGGTACGCTATTTAGTTTTTTTGAGCATTGTTGCTTAAGAGAATTTTTTGTCTTCAAAAAACGTCTACTTTCGAAGAAAAAAAAATTGCAGCGCCACCTGTATGTAAAAAATTAAAACTTTTTTTTGACAGAATTGTAGGTACTAATAGGGGTCAAACATGGGCCAAATTTCAAATCATTCAGTATTTTAATAAAAAATGTATGCCAAAATAATGGAATTTGGCCTTTTTGTGAAAGGCAAAATTAAATGGTTTCTAGGAGCTAAAGTTTAAGTCAGATGAAAGAAAAATTTTAGATTTAGTGTTAAATTGGATGTATAAACAAAATATTAAAATTAAAAAAAAATCTGAGATGTGTTGTAAATCGATCGTTCGATTCTTTCGCGAAATCATAGTTAAATCGCTCAAATAGTGCGGAAATCTTCCAACAAGTGAAAATAATTACGAAAACATGTAGCTGCAGCTACACTACCTGTGCAGGTGAATGCAATGTACTGTATATGTATATTGATTCTCTAAGATGAGAAAGGATATTACAAAAAAAAGAAAAAGGATTTTGAAGTACTTTTAGATGGCGAATTTTTAATAGAAAAATACATTGTTACGTAAAACCACAAATATTAAAAAAACTGTGTTTTCCACTTTTGTAAAAGAATTTCTCGAAAACCTGTTATAGAGCAATTCTAAGGTCGAGTTTGGATTCAGTACTTCAAAAACTTCTGAAAAATATTATCTGGTTTCTGAACTATCAAAAATCTGACACGATGGTGAGAAATATGCGACAGAGTTGGATTGAGCCAGCAAAACAAAACTTACATGTTCCTCAATAGATATGCACCTCACATTCCATAAAAACTCTATTATAGATAATATAGAGGCGAAAGATATGCCCAAACCAAGTACCAAAAACACACCACCAACATTTGCTAGAGCTAATTTTGAGGAATCATCTTCTCCTCCACCAGAATCCTTAAAAAATAATTATGAATAAAGTTTAAAACAAATTTTAAGAATTTACATCACAAGAAGGTTCTTCTCTTTTGGTCTTCCACCATTTGGTTTTAAGATCTATGAGTTTACCATCTTCTGACATTTTTAATACTGCTTTATTTATCTCTCCTCTATATGGAGAATCTACAATCAAATACGCCCAATAAAATCCTTTAAAATACTTGTTCAAAAATGTTCTTACTCATTGGCATTGCAATTCCATATCCCTTTGAGTCCAACCAGTTCCCCACCGACTTCAACTCACACTTCGTCTGCACAAAATATTCTATTTGCGAGGACTCCATCAAAAAAGCGTACAACCCCTTTCTAGTCGATATAACCCTATCAACTCCCTCATCATTGTTATTCTCAAAAACGCTAGGCTTAGTGGTACTCATTGACAACCACATACGTTGATACGTCGAATAGTTTGAATCTCTGAAGAACGCTTGAGTTGACCCCCCTTCCACTGTGCCGTATTTAATTTTGTTTTGTTTGGAGAGAGCTTCCGCACCATCTATGGCAGGCTCCATTTTTTGCATGGTCAAAAAAGCTGCAAGATTCGCTGTGTAGGAACTGGTCATTATCAAGGAGAAAAACCACCACATTGATACGGACATTCTTGAAGAAATACCTCTAAAAAAATGGTTTAGAAAAGTGTAATGAAAAGGTTCCTTATTGGTATTTACTTTGGTAAAATGTCACATCCCTGTGTCATTATGGACCCCATGGTCAACCAACAGGAATTTTTAAAATCCCATATATTTTCCAACTCTTCTGGATTTTGATCACATGGATGTGGGCTTTCCCAATCGCCTGGTGTCATTCTTAAAGAAAATATTAAAAAATACGTCCATTTTATATTATTTCAAAGTTACCTGGATACAAAAAATAGTAGAAGAGATACTATCAAGTATAGTGTAGCAGTATAAAACCAAACTGGTAGAGAAAATGGGTCCAAAAAGGCAAACATGTTGACCTCTTTAGCATCAGGTTTTTTATGTAAAATTCCTATGCCTAAAGTCATAAAAGGCATGCTGAAATCAACTACTTCACGCCTTTGATGGGTGATTGTAAGATCACATATCGCCAAATGAGCTTTCTATAACATAAAAGTTAACCTTTACTTATATTTTACTCGATTAAACTAGTTGTTACTCTATCTATTAACTCCCTGACAAGTCCATTCCATTTACCAGTAATTGGATCAGGTTTACCATAATCCTTTACAACTTTAAACTCATAGGTAAAATTCAAAATTTCTGCTATCCCATTTATTAAGTCCATAGCATAACCTTCGTATCTTGCATTTCCTGTCAATATTTCACCTTCGTAGCTACGTTTTCTCTCGTTAAGATATGGTTTTCCCAACCTAAGTGAATATTTTTTAGGAATCTTTACTAAAACATCCTTTTTTGTAAATACCTTGATGCCACAATGACTGTGGTTTTCTGCAAATTTTCTATAATAGTTTGTGCATCCTCCTCAGCACTTTTGCTCATATTTAATCTAGCAGATGGGGTCCAAGTTGCTATGGTTTTATTTACCAAGACTTCAACACAATGTATACGAAAATCCGTTCTTCTGCCGAAGTCGTCGAATTTTAATGGTCCGCTTAGTGTCATTGTAGGTTGTTTCTATTTTGAACAAAATTTTGAATTATTAAAATTATTTAAACATAAACTTACAATTTTCATAAAATTGGATATAGCAAAACCTCCGGACCATTTTTCAGTACTATCGCATGATATTGGGGTTGTCTCTATGGTTTGAGTCAATTGCAAGGTGTTTAAAGTGTCTAGGAAAAGTAGAACTGCATCGTGCATTAGGACGGTTTCTGTCTAAAAAAATAAAGTTTTAATTAACTGCATGAAAATGATGAAATTGCTTAAATTTGTCAACATGTGGTTTTTGACGCCGCTTTAAAATACTTAATCAAAAATTTCAAAATTTTAAAAATATTATTTCCAAAATGGCCAAAATTTTAAAAAAATTACAAAATCGTCAAAAATTTCTAATATTTTTCAGATTTAAAATTTGCACCGTACCTTAAAATTAAAAAATAAACCGTAAAAATATATAAATAAGTAAAAGTATCATGGGCTTAAAAAAAGTTATTGAATAATAAAAGTGGCTGATTCCAATTGTCACAAATCATTTATTGACAACATTTGAACAGGGGGGTGTAGGGGGGGAGTCGCCCCCCCCAAAGTCTAGGCAGTTGGTTCCAAATCCAAACACGGTTGGCAAAATCTATTTGGGTAGGTTGGTAGGGTTTACCTACCCTACCAACCTAATCATCACAATAAATAATATATAATTTTTAAACCATACATATTAGAAATTGTAATTTACAATATTATAATTTTTAACCTATTGTAACCTCCTATAATTGTTACCGTAAATAAAATTGTATTTTTTAGGTTTAACCTAGTAGCTTAAATTTGGATTTTATTTTTTTTGATTTACCTACCTAGTAGGTTCCATTTTTTATATTTATAGCGTATACTTTTTATACTAGAGGGCCCAAGAGGACAAATGGACCAAAAGTCATTATTCATAAAAAGTTCTGCTTGCTTTTAAAAGTCTATTACTATACTTTTAGAAAATTTTATACGGGGGTCGAAAAACAAGAAAACATAAAATACTCTCAGGAATAAACTACCTACCTTCATTTTTCGTTTTGGAGCAAAATGACAAATAATATTATTAGGATATCCTATCCAAAGACTACTTGTAAAATTTTAACTCAGTATTCCAAATTTTCTTTTTCTTATAAAGTTTTAAAATTTAATTTCTAATTTATACTTTTGTACCTCATTTCACGTATCCTTTACCTATGTATAGGGTTCTTAACCCGGACATTTTGTGTAAATTTACATTAATTACCAAAATGAACAATGATAGAATGCAAATTGTCAATTTGACGTTACTTGATTATTGTTGATTGTGTCATTTTTGTAAATATGAAATTAAATTTTAAAACTAAGAAAAATAAAATTTGGAACAATATTCCAAATTTTATTTTTCCGAATACCAAAAAAAAAAATTTACAAATGGTCTTTGGATACAATTTGAAATCTTTTTTTTATTTGTCATTTTGCTTCAAAACGAAAAATAAAGGTAGTTTACTCCTGAGAGTATTTCATGTTTTCTTGTTTTTTGACCCCCCTGTATAATATTTTCAAATTTAAAGTATGGCAATAGACTTTTTTAAACAAGCAGAACTTTTTATAAGAAATGACTTTTGGTCGAAAAATGAAAATTTTAGTCCATTAAAAAAAATGTTGTCCTCTTGGGCCCTCTATCCATGGACATACTGTATACTGTATATAAGTTGGTTTTTTATCGTCTCCGCCCCCCCCAAAAAAGTGTGCCTCGGTACGGCTCTGCATTTGAAACCAGATGGTTCTGCCTAGTCCCAACTAGGGTTTTAAAATTTCCGGAAAAATTGAGCCGGCGGAAAAAAACCGGTTATTTTTTCGGAAAAAAACGGAAAAATTGGAAATTTTCAGAAAAATTGACTTTTTAATATTTTAAATTTTATTCAAAGGGTAATACAAAAAAATGCAAAAGTCAATTTTTTTTGAAAATTTCCAAATTTTTACGGATTATTATTATTATAATAATTAGAGCTCTATTCTGTAACTTTTCCTTTAAATTTTAAAGTCCTTTAAAAAATTTAATTTTAAAGGCAGGGCTAAAATAAATAAAGGAAACTGCTATTCTGTAACCACTTATTTTATTATTCCTTTTATTTTAATTCAGTAAGAATATTCTAACTGGCCGCAAAAAACATATTTAAATTTGGTGCTATATTAACATAATTTTTATTTAACACTTTGATTTATAAAATTATAATTAATTAATTCATTATTTTGTAGTTAAATATTTTTAATGGACTCCTCTTTGCAACAAAAAAACCTAACAGACAGTATATTTCACGTTTACGTTTATTTTCTTAAATTTAGTTTAATGTTTAGTTTTATTTTTTTGTAATAAAGGATTTTGTATTACCTATTTAAAATAATCTTAAGTTGTTGATTGCTATTTTTTTTAAATGTGTATATTTCTAAAAAAAATATTTTTTCCCAAAAAAGCCATTTTTTCCAAGGCCTGGGAAAAAAACGGAAAAAACAGTTTTTTTTTCCCAATTTTTTCGTTTTTTTCGACACTTTAAAACCCTAGTCCTAACTCTAATTGTTATAACAATTATAATATATAAGAAATTATTACGTTGCAAACATTACAAAGTTGCCTGCAATATTGCAATCTTGCCGTGCATTTCCCAAAATTTTCAAAACTTTAATTTTAATTTTTAATTTTTTATTATTATTTCAGTTTTCGAAATTATTTATATTTGGCCGCTTTATTAAAGAGATCATTGACAATCTATACGGGGTGCACCAAGTATTATGAGGCGCCGTTTGCGTCAAAATTATTTTAGGCTTATATAGATAAAAAATTCCACACATACATGCGAAAATGCAAATATAAAGTTTTTTTTGGTACATAATATGTATATATTATATAGAAATGCAAAAATTAAGGTACAAATATAAAGTTTTGTTTTGGTACATATATAAAAATGCAAAAGTGCAGGTATAAATATAAAGTTTTGTTTTGGTACATATATAGAAATGCAAAAGTGCATGTACAAGGTTTCGTTTTGGTACACATATAGATATGCAAAGATGTGGGTACAAATATAGAATATAATATAATGTTATATAAAGTGTAGCATGGGCTGTTGGTACAAATATAAAAAGTAAGGTTTGGGACGGAGACACAAGATGGCGTTTTTAACACTTTCAACCATATACTTTATGCTTTCAACCGCGCTTAAGCGTACGTCTGTTCTTACTACCGGCATTTAAATGTTCTATTGTGTATTATAGATTAACTACTTTTAACGTTTGTTTGTTTTAATTAAAAGAAGTTTAGTTGAAAATAGGTAAGTTATAAACGCCGTTTTACTTTTTACTCTTACCAATTTTTTACAAAACGATTCGTTTTAATTAAAACAAACAAACATTAAACTAGAAACTTAAATGCCGGTAGTAAGAACAGACGTACGTTTAAGCGCGGTTAAAAGTGTTGAAAACGCCATCTTGCGCCTCCGTCCCAAACCTTACTTTTTATATTTGTACCAACGGCCCATGCTACACTTAATATAACATTATATTATATTCTATATTTGTACCCACATCTTTGCATACCCAACTAGCATTTATGGTGGCAGATACGTAACTGCCACTATCAAAGCCACTACAAAGGGGGCGGTGACCATCGGCGGCTACGTTGTATATTCGTAGCTGCTAAGTAACTGCGACCAAAATGGGGAAAGATTTTGAGTAGCCGGGTAGTGTCTTGGGTAGTTTTTGCCACTAAAAGAGTTACTACGATATGGCACTATAAAGTAGCCTACCGTTGAATGCGACTTATCTGTTACGAAGCTGCCTAGTCGCGGGTTCGTGGCAGCCTAGTGTTTTGCCACCGACATGTAGAACTTTCATTAAACTGTTAAACTTTATTCGCAGCGACCTCTTCAGTTTCACACTTCATAAAAATAAATGTCATGATGGAAAGTAATTATGGAAGCCATTATTATTTTTTTGTTATTTACCATGCGATTTTAACGCCTTTTGTGGGTCAATTCCAAAACGCAATCGACTTTACTGAATAAAATAGTGGGTTTATATGACAAAATTTTCGAGCGCCTTTCAAAACATTTCAAATTATTAAATTATTTGCAATAGAAACTCATGTAGTAATTAAAAAAAAAATTAATTTGCTTAAAACTGGCGTGAAACTTTAAAATATTAGTCCACCGTCACAAATAACAAAATATCTAAGGAAAAAATCTTTAGTTTAGGTATATTTAGCTTAAAAACGCAAAATGTTTGAGCCATTTGGCTGTTCGTCTGAAAAGTCATGAAAAAAATATGGCCGTTTAATCCGAAAAATACTTTATAGTTCCATATGCTTCCACAAAGTACCGGGAACAATAATATATTAGGCCAACCCTACCCGTTTGGAACTTTAAAATCTTCGGATTGATAAAGTGACAATTGCAACTACCCAGAGACGACTTTATGGAAACAATAACTTTTTGGGAACTACATGGTCCACGATTCTTTGGAACATAAAGTGATTTTTTCCAAGAAAGTTCCCTGCGCCACTAAATTGCCACTTAATTGCAGCGTTTATGCTACACCGATCGCGGCGTGCCACTATAACGTTCCGCCTTGTCCTTTGAAGTTCCCGTTTGGCGACGCGAGAATCATATTTTTTGTAAAATGCAAATTGAATATTATCAAACCTAATGTTTTACTGGTTATTGCAATTCTTATGATCACATGACAATTATTCATTTATTTTCAAAAAAATTAATTATTATAAAAAAACAGGACCCACACCGTTTATGACGTCACTTCCGTCTCGTGTCGTTTTTTCTAGGTTTATTAATTACTCTCTTAAATCTTGAAACGTTCTCTTCCACTTAATCTTCGAATCCACGACTTAAGTAGAGAGCATACAATATTCATTTTTACATAGCCCAAATAGGTACCTACAAGTAAGGCAGAATGAATAACATTCATCAGCCCAATATTTGAACGCTTGACTCAGGTGTAGAAATCAGAACATACATCAACTTTGACTGCAAATACTTCAGGGAAGTATTGATAAACTTGACCCATTAAAAATATTTAGCACCTTGAATTTCTTATATTAAATTCCTATTCATTACAAAATATTTAAAGACTATTAAGGTGAAAACGTTCACGTAAGATAGAATTAATAATATTCATCAGCACCTCGATCAGAACGAGATTTGAACACTTGACTCAGGTATAGAAGTCAGAACATGCATCAACTTTGAATGTGAATAGGTACTTCAAACTGTTTGAATCAAACAGCTTTAAAAATGTCACTACCTGATTTATGATGTTCATCAGTACGATTATAGAAAGATGTAGTTTTTGTTTCTGATGATGATGCTTCGGCTCCCAGTGATTCCTTTTGTTTAATTCTTTGATAGAAAGTACTAGAATATCTAAATTTCTTTTTATTTACCTTAAGCATTTTACAGAATTTTAATAAAGCTTAAAAGCAAGAAAAGAAAACACCAAAACAGAGCAGCACACTATAGTGCGTAATATATATGCATATATGCAATCTGAGGCAATTACATTTATTAGGGTATATTAAGTTATGGTCACTATTAAGTAGCCATTTTTGATCCCCGCGACTTTTTAGTGGCAAAGGATAAGCGACGGCTACTTTATAGTGACCTAGGAAGGTCGCAGTAACCATTTTGTTACTTTCAATGCTACTATAAATTAGAGGTAACCAGGTGTCGTGGCCGCGACTACCCCGTAACTTAAATTGTTACTATAAAGTAACAAAAACTTAATGGAGGCATTATGGTAGCACTTGTTGGTGACCGCTACTTTAAAAAGTTACTATAAAGTTTTTGGTCTTTTATGGTGTCATATTCGAAGATTCAGGTAGTTCCAGCCACTTCTTTAAATTACATGTTTGCCACTTGCAATCGGTGTGTTTATTTTCCACTTTTATGGTAGGTAGGCACTAACCAGTCACTCTCGAAATATACTTCAAAGTGACTATTCCTTATAGAGTAACATTTTAAGTGGCAGGGTGGGTCTAGGAACTATACTTTAGGGGCAGTGACATTTAAAAAGGACTGGGAACTATATTTGCTAATTGGGTATCTATATGTGTACCAAAACGACACTTTGCACATGCACTTTTGCATTTCTATTTATGTACCAAAACGAAACTTTATATTTGTACCTGCACTTTTGCATTTTTATATATGTACCAAAACAAAACTTTATATTTGTACCTTTACTTTTGCATTTCTATATATTTACCAAAAAGAAACTTTATATTTGCATTTTCGCATATATGTGTGGAATTTTTATCTATATAAGCATAAAATAATTTTGACGCAAACGGCGCCTCATAAAGTATCCTTATACACATATAATTACTTCTATGGGTATTTTTTTATTTGAAGAGTGAAATTAATAAATTAAAAAAAGCCAGCGGCTCTCAAAATATTTAAAAGAAACTGTATGTAAATATACTTATAGGAGCGGGTTTGGTTGGGTTGGGTTTTGAAAACACAACTTTAGGGGCAAATGGATACTTTGATACTTTGTTGGATTCCTTGATAATTTTCTATTTAACCATGTAACAAAATCTCAAATCTCAATCTTAAAATCCAGTAGGCGAAAAAAATCACAAATTGGATAAAAATGTAGATAAATGTGTTTGTTTACATCTAAAACTTACTTTTTTTAAATTTTCAGGAATAACGAAGTTATAACGATTTTTGACAGGTTTTCAGTTTTTTTCAAATTATTTAAGAAGCGATGATTTTTGTCCAATTTTTAAATGCCATTGTAATTACATAGAAGGATACTTGGTGCATCCTGTATAGTCTCAATTACTACTCTCTAAAAGTGAAACAGTGAAATTTTCACTATTTCCGTCAGTGAGTTATTATTCACTGTAAAATTAGTGTTTTTCAATATAAATTAGTGAAATTTTAACTTCTCTAAATTAGTGTTTTTTATTATTACTACTTTTCCGGAACTCTCGACTTAAAATAGTGAAATTTTAACTTTTTTGAACTAAACCTATTTCACTAATTTGTACAGTGTAATTTCCACTAAATAAATTAGTGCAAAGAAATCGCTACATGAAAAAGTGAGTATTCACTAATTGCTAGTGGTATACTTATCACTGCGGCAAATAGTTAATATGCACTGTCAATAAGTGAAAATCCACTGTTTCATTTTTAGAGAGTAGGTGTTATGTATGTATTTGCACAAAAAAACAAAATTTACTCTTATTTCCTGTGGATCAATTTTGATCCTATTGCCCAAATGGTATTGCGACAACTCCCAATTTCGCACAGCTCGTTTAAACTCAACATTATTTAAATCAAAAAGTCTTATTGATGTTATATTAGCATTGGTGTCCAAAGTGGAATAATCAAGCGTATGAGCATCCTAAAAATTAATTAATAGAGTACATATTTAATTATAATAACTTAAATAATTTACCAAAGACGTCAAAAAGAAATTGTGGAACAATTCTAGCATACCAATTTCTTTAGCTTGTTTTAAAACATCCAAAATTTTATCAACATGGCAATCTAGGATCATTCTAAATGCTGAAGAATCTTGGATTTCTTTGAATAAGGGTCTAAAATAGAGGTTTAAGCCGTATTATTATTATTATTATTATTATTATTATTATTATTTTAATGTCTTTCCAACAGGCACCTGGCCCAATTACAGGAGTACACACTGACACACACAAATAAACAGCCATACCCCTGGTGGGATTCGAACCCACGACCTCTCGGCTTGTAGTCCGCAGTGCTAACTACTACACCACCGTAAGGCGTATCCTAACTTAGGCTGCGTACTCTTAGGATTCCTAAGAGTACGCAGCTGCAGCTATACAAATGTGGTTTTTAATTAATTTGTACTTGCAACCATGGGTGACTCTACAAAAGTTGGACAACTTGATGTTATCAGTCAATAGAGTAGGTATTTTAAAATTTTTTGTAAATATTTTAGTAAATTACAAAAGATCCAGGTTTTTTTTAACTTCTCCACCCAATTTTAATGTATTTTTTCAAAAGCACGTTTGTAGAAAAATATAATAAATATTCAAAACATCAGTACCTTGGCGTGTCACAACTCCTGAATCAAATATTTGAGTGGTTTTATTTTAAAATATATTCAATTTATCTTAAATTTTTCAATTTCACTACAAACTATAAAACATTAAATAATGTATTTTTCATATTTTATCATAGATTCGAATAATAGCAATGATTATCTTTGTAGGTACTCACTTTTACCCGTCAGTTCTGTGTCCAATTTTAAAATTCAAAATTCCTGCGAAATATATTGAAGTTTAAACGTCAAGTCCTCGATTTAAATCAAGTGTTGGTAAAAAAAATACCTACAGAGCCCGCCCTTTGCACGACAGTCACCTTGAAAACAATGCAAACGGCGAAGTTGTGGTGAATGCACTTATAGTTCCAGTCAAAAATTCAGTACCTACTGTGGTGAGTAGTTATTTTCTTACGTATATATATTTCATTGTAATTTATATAAAGCTATATGTGATTTGTTTATAAGTAGCATCCGCTAATAAAAAATATCAGTAAAATACTTAATTCCGAATTATAATCTCAAATTTGTATCCCATTCATCAGTACCGTGTTGTCAGTTCCATGTTCGATGTTTCGGTTATCTTTTTTTCGCAAACTTCAATTTAAATTCTGCTTGCGCAGATCTTGTTTATTTATTTATTTTATTAATGTCCTTATAAACTCATATAAATTTGGTGTGGGTCCCATATATAATAATTGAGATATCGGTATACCCAAAATCCACCAGCCGCCACTGATGTTTGGTACCACATATACGTATACGTATTATTTGATTTTAAGATATTTAATGTATAATATGTTCAAAGTTGCAATAAATCTTATATTTTCCAATAAATTATGTATTTAATTAGTACCCTGGTATACTCGTCACTTCCCTTGCATTCAAATTTGGAAATATTTTAGAAACTGTTTGAAAAAGTGACTGGCCCTGTCTGGAACAGTACAAAATACTGTTTAATTTTCTACGAAAATATATAAACAAAATAAGGTCAAAAGTTTCCCAACTTTTCTAGAATCACCCACTTATTTAAAAAAGCATTATACTTTTCTGGATCAAAAAAATATTTTTTATATTTTCTAGAGCAATAAACAATTAATTTAGTAGGTATTCTATTTTCTAGAACAATTAACAATTATTTTAGTCTACTTTATGCCACAATTTGCAAATTGTTGGAAAACTATATTATTTCATCAAAAACTCGATTAATATTCAAAATTTAGTACAAAACTTTAAAGGGCTGTCATGAATAGATTTTTTACTTTTTTCTAAACGGTCCAGAAATATCGTGGCCACGGCAACAATTTCGCGCAACCCAAAATACAAAATATTTTTATTTTGAGATATAGCCTGCAGGCACACTCTTAAATTACCCTGCATATTTAATACAATGATTATTTATTTTTAAAACTTTTGGCAGCTCCGCAAAACAATTATTTCCTACCTATAATCAGGACCGAGTCCCATTTTTTTCAAGGTAATTTTGAATTTACTTCCTTTTAAATAATCCTGCAATTTTAACACTTCCTGTAATCGTGATAATCCCTCTTCTGTCTCATAGATAACAATAAAACTATCCCATTGCAAACTCTTAACAATTTCGGCTAAGCCCATCGCGTACAGGTCTGCTTCCGGAAAAAAATTCAGCGCGGTTTCCGATTTCGGTGAATTTTTTGCTTTCCAGTTTGTTTGTATGTGGGGTATTTCAAAATTCGAGCATAGAGATTGGATTATTGATGAAGCTCCCTCAGATTGTGGCCCAAAAATTGCTGCAATACCACTATCAGTTTGACTGATGTTGCAAACAATTTTACTGCAAGAATAACTATCAGTTTTTAGTAAAGTCTGCATGTTTATTTTGTAGAAAAGCTTTTGGTCTACCAAGTTTTTAGTGTAGACCAAACTCCGCAAGGGCATCTCCATCTGAGAGTCCTCCTCATCGAAAAGAGCTCCTAATATCATAAACAAAAGAAATACAAAAACAAAAAATAAAATAACATACTTACCAATGGTTATAGAATCCTTTGCCAAACACAAATAATTATATGTCGCAAAAAATAAAACCATAAAAACATTTTGTATCACAATTTTCATTTTATAGCTGTCGAAGTTTTAATAATGTTATTCGCGGAAATTTTATCAACGTAACTTTATAACATTTCAAATGCATTTAAAATATTTAAGTATGTCTGATTGGGATTATGCCAATTATTATAATAGTAACTACAGTTTTTGGCCTTTACGCAAATAGACGCATAAGTAGTTAGTTACATTTGATTTGAAATTGATTTATATTTCTCATAAAATATAAATAACTAGGTACCTACATTATATTTATATCTTAAAACAAAACAGCAAATTTAATTGTTCTTGCATTTATTAAATTTATAAATAAGATAACAGTGTTTCATTTAAATTTATCTCAAAATATCAGCGTTTCAAACACTCACCGGTAGGTGACAGCACTTACATACCGCATTCACTTTATATGTTACCGCATTACATCTGCAATCAGTCAGACACTCCGTAATCTGGGTTGCAGTTTTCAAACGCAAATGTGTCAAAATTTATAGGTTATCCTATTTGATTGATGATGATTAGATTTTAGAAGCATTTTACTCCACTATTTCTTTACGGGTATCGGTGTGGTGCACTTGGTGACATTATGGAAAAATTTAAATATTTAATGGAGCCCGAGTTGGTGGCGAATATTCAAAAATATTTCGGCGTAGAAAAAATTCAGAAAAATGATAGGAGTAATGCTGTGGATAATATTCAAAAATATTTCGGCGTAGAAAAAATTCAGAAAAATGATAGGAGTAATGCTGTGGATAAAAAGGAGTATACAGTGAGGAATAAATTTTGGTATTATTTGTTTTGTTTTGGTACTGCACTGGGGGATGAATTATTCTACTCAAGTTTTATTCCTTTTTGGTTTTGGAATGTTGATGGAGCAGTTGGACGAAGAGTGGTATTAGTATGGGCAATTATAATGTATATAGGTATTTTTTCTACTATACACATGTTAGAAAACTTTAGAACTTCACTAAACCTTTTATTGAAACTTGACAATGTTAAAAAATATGACATTCTAAAATTTGATTTTGACATTCTTAAATATGGTTTTGGAATTTTAAATTATGCTCTTCCATCTTAAATAGACCTTGCCATTTGTTAATATGTTTGACATTTGAAATTGTGTCTTACTTAAATTATTAAGTATGTCTTAAAATATTTAAATGTATTTTCTACATTTTTAAATAAAATGCTTTTTAATGTTTGACAATCAAAATACCTATGCATTTACATTCTAAAATACAAATTTCACATTCTTAAGGGCCGGTTTTTCAATCGTTGGTTAAGTTTATCTTACGGTTAACTTTCTTAGATACTATTGTGTTAACAATTGTAACTAAGGAAATTAACCGTAAGATAAACTTAACCAACGATTGAAAAACCGGCCCTAAATGTTTTTAAGAATGTACATTGACATTTTAAAGTGTTTTTTATTGTTGTTTTAAATAAATTATTAAATGTGGTTTGGCATTCTAAAATATGTTTTAAACATTTTTAATTGTGTTTTTGTCATTTTATATTATACAGAATATTCTTGGTTTTTTTAACATTCTTAAATATTCTTGTCATTTTAAGTGTTTTTTTATTGTGTAAAATATTTATGTGGCTTTGGGACACAGAATATTTGTAATATTTATTATAATAAAATTTTTAGGACAAGGTATAAAGGACCTATTCCAAATGCCTAGACCAGGCCCGCCTGTTGTTAGATTGCAAAATAAGTGGGCAATGGAATATGGTATGCCCTCCACACACGCAATGGTAGGGGTGTCAATACCATTTTCAGTATTATTGTATACCATGGACAGGTATCAGTACAATTTTCCATTAGGTTTATTAATTGCCATTGTATGGTGCTCTGTGATTTGTGTTAGCAGACTTTATTTGGGAATGCACAGTGTTTTGGTGAGTATAGTAGGATTAAGTAATAAAAAAATGTTTGTTTAAAAAATTAATATTTGAGAAAGATACAATTGTTTGTTGTTTGAATAAAATAGCAAATACAATGTAGATTTGTCTTATTATGAAAAGAATAATTTAATTTTATTATTGGTTTTAAAAGTTGTTTTTCTTAATTTTTTGTCATTTTTATAAAATTATAATTTTTATGGAAAAAAAATATTTATGAACTAGGTACTGTGCCCCACCACGTGATTAATTTCGTTTTATTGTCTAAAATAATACAATTATAATATATTCTGTAACAAGTTTGGAATAGGGTATATTCCTCCCTAGTTTGACGGTTTTAAGAGAGCGTTATATGTATTTCCAAATGCGTTTCAGACCATAGAAAAATAATTTAATTTGGAGAAAGTGACGTCTAAAAGTTGTTAGATAATAAGCACAGAGATGTCGCCACCAGGGTTTATAAAAGTAAGAATAATATTGCCTTTATTAATAAAAAATTGCCGAAGTTTAGCAAAAGCTATTCTTATTCCCACATACTTCCACACATACATATACCGCTTATTCACTAAATTTTATATAGATGACCTTGTTTCCTTTTTTGAGGGAAAATATGAGTACATTAGATGCACAACTTTGTATTTGCAGAATAAGTGATTTTAAGAAAAACATGAAAAACCGCTCATAAGATCATTTTTGAAAAAAAAATGCAAAAATTGTATAGATGTGCTTTTGCATCATTTTTATTCAAAAAAGTAAAAAAAATCCTTTAAAATTAGATATTTAGTAAATAATTGTAATCAAAAGATTTAAAAACATAGTTTTGCATCTTCCTCTTCAAAGACCAAGTTTTGCAAGTGAAAAGTGCAAATACCAAAAAATAACAATTAATCAGTTGATTTTTATGTCGTTACGTAATGCGTATACTAGCGACGCTACGATGCAAAAGCACGTCTATACAATTTTTGCATTTTTTTTAAATGATCTTATGAGCGGTTTTTCATGTTTTTCTTAAAATCACTTATTCTGCAAATACAAAGTTGTGCATCTAATGTACTCATATTTTCCCTCAAAAAAGGAAACGTCGCGACGTGATTGGTCAACAGCAAATACCGAGTTTTGCTTCCGACAGGAAGAAACAAATACCCAGTTTTGCATCTGCCTTAAGTTTTTAAATGTATTTTATTCTACAAATACTAACTTATAAAATTAACATTTATTATTTTTATGAGTCACATGATGGGACTTTGATGTGTGGAGCATAGTACTTATATCACTTAACAAAATTACATTGAAAAATTATTCATAATTTTATCATCTTATGAGATTAGAAAAATTTAAGCATTCATTAAATAATAAATTAAAAATTATCGTATAAAAATTAACGCATATAGAAATAAAATTGATAACACATTAAGTTAATTAAGTATATGCGTATTCTTTTAAACTTTTTCTGTTTAATATTTTGAAATGTAAAAATGGACAAAGTTTAGCATTAAAAAGTTGACTTATTTTACTTTTGCTTTTTTAAGGCGTATTCATGCTCACTTAAAATAAGAAATAAGAATAAGAAATAAGAAATAAGGAATAAGAAATAAGAAATAAGACCGCGATTGATCGTTCATGCTGATAACCTAAGAAATAAAAAATGTTGTCACAAAATTATATTTTATTATAGTGGATTATATTGGCTATAAACGTAAACAATCGACAGCGACACTCTACGCGATTTCCAACACCATGGCTCCATGCATATAACAAATAAAACCCATCAAAATAATTCACAGACCCATTTTGGTTCTTTGCGCAGTTTTATACGCAAGAATAAGAACCAAAGTTAAAAATTGTTATCTTTATTCTTATTTCTTATTCCTTATTTTCATGAGCATGAACGCAACCATTACTTTACACAGTTTTAACTTTTTATCTTATTTCTTATTTCTTATTCTTATTTCTTATTTCTTATTTTAGTGAGCATGAATGCGCCTTTATTATCTTAAGAGCTTTCTTATTTCTGGTTAGAAAAATATTTCGTGGTTGATTTTAAACACGTAAAAACGTAATATCATTAAATGATTAAATGGTAAAAAAACATACCTAATTTAACAATGTACAGGGTGGTCCACATAAGGTGACCCATATACTTATCTCAGAAACTACTGGAGTCACAAAAAATTTGTAAGAAACAAATATTCACGAAGTAAAAAATATTTTTAAAATATTATATTTTCATTTATACAGGGTGTTCGGTTTTCCTTGGGACGATACCAACTTTCTTATTTTCAATGGAACACCCAGTATTTTTTTGCATTTTTGGATTCTACCCACTCTTTTAGGTATACTTTGTAAATATATTAATTAAGAAAATGTTAAAACTTTTTGAGTAAAATTAAGATTTATTAAAATTTCTCTAAATGTAGACACTCGCTAAAAGTTAAAAATAATCAACTAAAAGTTATTATTTTTTATATTATGTAGTATCCATCTCTTTAATAATAAGTAAGCTATAAGTTAATTATTATATTTTTTGGAAAATATCATACAGGGTGTTTTCTATGTCCCGTTGAAAATAGCGATTTTAAAAGTTTAAAATCTTGTTTTTCTTCAATGGAACACCCTATATATTTTTGCATAATTGGATAGAATAAGTAATTACCTTTCATTTTATATATATATGTCCTATACCTAAACCTAACAGAAAAAAAAATATTCGCATTTTTCACAATTAGTAGCTTTTTTCCAATTACCTAATTTTCATTATTCAAATAAATAAATTTCAATAACAACAAATAAAAATGCTTTTATATATAAATATATATTACTATAATAATTACCATACGCGCAAAGCTACTAATTTTGTAAAATGGGAATATTTTTTTTAGGTGATCCACGTAAGGTGACCCATATACTTATCTCAAATACTACTGTAGTCACAAAAAATTTGTAAGAAACAAATATTCACGAAGTAAAAAATATTTTTAAAATATTATATTTTCATTTATACAGGGTGTTCGGTTTTCCTTGGGACGATAGCAACTTTCTTATTTTCAATGGAACACCCTATATTTTTTTGCATTTTTGGATTCTACACACTCTTTTAGGTATACTTTGTAAATATATTAATTAAGAAAATGTTAATACTTTTTGAGTAAAATGAGGATTTATTAAAATTTCTCTAAATGTAGACATTCGCTAAAAGTTAAAAATAACCAACTAAAAGTTATTATTTTTTATATTATGTAGCATTCATCTCTTTAATAATAAGTAAGCTATAAGTTAATTAATTTATTTTTTGGAAAATATTATACAGGGTGTTTTCTTTGAATAATGAAAATTTAACTAAGGTAATTGGAAAAAAGCTACTAATTGTGAAAAATGCGAATATTTTTTTTTCTGTTAGGTTTAGGTATAGGATATATATATATATATATATAAAATGAAAGGTAATTACTTATTTTATCCAATTATGCAAAAATATATAGGGTGTTCCATTGAAGAAAAACAAGATTTTAAACTTTTAAAATCGCTATTTTCAACGGGACATAGAAAACACCCTGTATGATATTTTCCAAAAAATATAATAATTAACTTATAGCTTACTTATTATTAAAGAGATGGATACTACATAATATAAAAAATAATAACTTTTAGTTGGTTATTTTTAACTTTTAGCGAGTGTCTACATTTAGAGAAATTTTAACAAATTTTAATTTTACTCAAAAAGTATTAACATTTTCTTATTTAATATATTTACAAAATATACCTAAAAGAGTGGAAAGAATCCAAAAATGCAAAAAATTACAGGGTGTTCCATTGAAAATAAGAAAGTTGGTATCGTCCCAAGGAAAACCGAACACCCTGTATAAATGAAAATATAATATTTTAAAAATAATTTTTACTTCGTGAATATTTGTTCCTTACAAATTTTTTGTGACTCCAGTAGTTTCTGAGATAAGTATATGGGTCACCTTACGTGGACCACCCTGTACACATTAAACACATTAAATTAAGCTTTGACGCATATGGTTCAGACCAAATTATTCACATTTAGAAAAATGGCCACAAATCAGTCAACTTTACAAAATGCGTGTGATTTTTCATACCAAAATTAAGTGGAGGAATGCCATTGCACGAAATACGGAACAAAAGGTTTAAAAACCACCAGTGTAATTCTTTCATTTTTAGGATGTGATAGTCGGATTATTTTTGGCCATATGTCTAATGTTTCCATTGGTGCCCATAATTGACCATTTGGATAATTATTTCTTGACCAGTCCCACTGCCCCTATATTACTACTGGTCTCTTCTATACTTATGATAGTCTACTATCCAAACAGTGGAAAATGGACACCAACAAGGTACAACAAAAATATTAAATATTTTTAAACTTTTTTGTCTATTAGTTGTTTTTTAAAATAGTGCGTATTTAAATAAACTTTTTTGTTTTTGTTTTAGAGGGGACACAACCATGATTCTTTCAGTATGTGTAGGAATCCAGATTGGAGCCTGGCTTAACTACCAAACTGGAAAGATGTCGGCATCGGAACTGACTGCGCCATACGCCATAATGTGGCCATCGTACACGATGCTAGGCAATACACTACTACGTACTATTATAGGCTTTGCGTTCGTACTTTTGACAAGAACGGTTTGCAAAACCTTTACATATAACATTATATGTGCCATATTGAGGGAGGATGTTGATAATCTGAAAAAATCCGAGAATACTTTACAGAACAAACACAAAACTATAGTCGATTTGGGGTGTAAATACGTAGCATGCGCCGCAATAGGTTTTAATACTTTGTACCTTTTACCTCAACTGTTTAGATTCATGAGGATTGAAAGGCCGACTTTCTTTACTGAAATCTGATAATTTAGTCATATTATGAAACAATTGTTTTCATAAGATTTTTATCTTCTCTCTTTTTAGAGCCATTTTTATTTTAACAGCAAATCGGCATGCCAAATATTAATTTTAAACTTAAGACCACTTTTTATCAAGAAAAACATTTTTTATTTGGAAATTGGCAGATAATTTATGTTAATTTCTCTAGTTTTTTTATGCTGTCAAATTTCGAATAAAAAAACGTATTTTAGACCTTAAAGTCGTTATAGAGAGCTTTTGATAATGTTCATATCAAACATAAGCAATCGTCCAGTTTTTTAATTTTATAAAATCTATATTAACTATTAAGATTAAAAGCACAATTTGTGGTTTCATAATTTGGTTGACATTAGAATTAATTCTTTTTGTTTCCAGTCACAACAAATTTGTTGGTAATAAGATGCTAAATTAATTATTACATTTAAATTTATTCTGCACAATTTAGCAAAAATTTGCTTAATATATTAATTATATGAAATAAATTGTAATCTTTAAAAAAATGAGGTACTTAAATAGGAATTGTAAATAGTAAAAAAGGCAATATGCATAATAAAGAACATTTATTAAAAAAAACAATAAAATGTACAAATTCAGATCCTTAAACTTAAAATATTATTTTATAATTTTAAAGTGCACTAAATTCTAATAAAAACGAATTGTGCTGTAATGCCTTAATAATTTTATCCACCCACTAAGGGCATTGTTACTGTTAATACCTGAAAATAAATTATTTAAATAAAAATTATTTTTTAATAATTTTATACCTTGGAAGCCTTTTCAAATGTAGATGTACAACTTTCTCGCCGGACTACATATGGGACGAAAATGTCCAAGAAGTAACCTTTCGCTGTGGATTCCAATAAAATACGGTCTTCACCAATGTCCAGTGTAAGTTCGCTAACTGACACCTAAAAATATTTTTTTCGTGAAAAAAGTAATAATTAATTTTACTTTTTTTTACCAAATTTGGCAGCCTGAACTCGCCAATCAAGCAATTTTGCCCGCCCTTTTTCTTATAAAGTCTATACTCGGGCTCCTTGACTTTATTCTCAGCACTGGATATGGTTTCAATCAATACTTTTTTCTTTGGTTCCTCAGTCCTACCCGTAATTTTATCCAAAACGGACTTATTACTTTCCGCCTGTTTTCCCATTTTCTCGTCGATTTCCCTCTGTTCAATTCTGTGGCTTTGCAGAATTCCAAAAGCTCTTTTGTTGCGCAGAATTATTTTTTCGTCCACGCAGACCAACCCGTATTTGTGTTCAAAAAATAAAATTATAATAATCTAGAAAGCTTTAAGTTTTATTGAGATGGAATCATACACGTTAAAATTGCGGATAACTTACTTGAAATGCTACAGCCATAAAAAACTCCTTAAAAGACTGTATGGATTCTATCTTTTTAAAAAATTTCGGGTTAATCGCGATATCAACCACTTTGGCGTCGATATTGTTTTTGTCTTTTTCAGTTCTTGTTTCTCCAATACTCATAGGGACTTTGAAGTCCGGTTCCTCATCTTTAAGAAGTTCTAGTAATTCTTGTTCGGTTATTTCTTTAGGTGGGGGTATAGCGTCTGTTTGACATACGTTGACAAATACTTTGGTTGATGTTCCTACTTCTTTAGTTTTTACACATAAACCTGAAAAAAATAATTAATGATTATCAAACATGTCTACCCCAAGCAGCATTTTTGGTTCCAAAAACCATTACCAAAGTGATAAATTTAAATTAGTTAAGTATACTAAACAGCTACTTTAATTTTTACTTAAAAGTAATTCTAACTTTTAAATAGCAATATTTTGTAACAGATACTTAATTCTTTCCTTAAATGGTTACTATAAAGTAATAAACATTTAAGTAAAATTTGGTTGCCCCCAAGAAGACTTTGCAACTTTAAAAAAGGTGTTATAAGTAAAAAAAACTTTCAAGTAAATTTAATTTGTAGCAGTTACTTTCGGTTTCTACCTAAATATTACATTATTATTTTTACTTTGTAGTCCCTTTGCAAGTTAAACTACAAAGTTAATAACTTAAAAGTTATTATTTTAGTATTTGGAACGTTTATGGTACTAACCAAAACTACCGTAAAGTAAGTAAGGTGGAAAAAAACTTTAAAGTAGCGAAAACTACTTCAAAGGAAAATGCTTCTTATCGGCCATTTTTTACTGTACAGTACCACGTGGTAATGTAAATAATACATAATTTTAATTGTTTGTAAATGGTTGTTTACTTTTTAATAGTAATTTTGTTGGTAATATACGGTATTAATACGTAATACGTAATTAATAATAAATATTAAGATTTTTTTATATATAAACATTAAATAATTGTTTATACTTAATGAAGCGCATTTATTTTACAAAAACTAAATTCATAAATTCAACAGTAAAATTTAAAGGGTTTATAAATTTACCTGTCTAATTAAACATTATATTGTTATTCTGGAAGTTATAAACTACCAATACTTACATATTTAATAAACGACATAATTGAAAAGCCAAGTCCGTAGCATAGAAAAAGGAGGGATAGTATAATCTAATATAAGTTTGACAAAGACAGTTAATATAAAGGTAAAAACAAATAAATAAAAGTAATTATAACGCTCTAGGAACGATATTGAAACGTTCTAGTAACGTAGCAGCTACGTTCCAAATAGTAGCAGGGTTTATAGCTAGTGACATATTTGTTACCTTTTTGGAAACTCAATAATTGTACCCCACTTTAGTCGTAACTTAGTAATGAAAGATCTTTCATTACTCGAGTAATATAAAGAGACCGGCGACTGTCGCTAAACACTTTCTTCAATAGTCGTAACAAACACTTAAATTGTAGCTTGGGACAGACAATTAAATGATAGTTTAGTTACCTAATTTTGCATAATTTATAAAAAAAGTTAAAATTGTTTAAATTTAATTTTGAAAGCTTTGTTTTAGAAAATAAACTTTAGCGGATTTTTTGATTTTTCCTACTGATAGGTACATATATGTACCTATTTGTTAAACTGTATGATAGCCATTTTAGTTGAACATGTAGTTTTCTTGGGAATACCTTAATATCCTCAGTATCAATACAGAATGTAATAAAATGTATGTGAATAATTTTTCAAGCGTGACCAAACGTTGTCCTTATATCACAAACTGCCTTAATAAAAACAGCTTTGTTATAAAATACACTGGAGTTTAGCATTACATATAAAAGAACTCTGTACCCATGTAGTTTACAACTGTGGCACAAGAGGGCGCCGCTGCAGGCAATGGTATCGCTATTGTTATTTTGCGCGTTACAAACAAGCAGCGTATGTTTTTGAAGGTTATCTTTTGTCACGGCATTTACTCGGTAAGCAGTATATAATTTTCTTTTTAATGTAAAGTAAACCAATGACTTTATTTTTATTTAATGCAATGTTTTGTGTGGATTTATTATGTCACTTTTTTATTATGTCTTCTTCGTCACATGTCTCTTTTGTCACACTGCACTGCTATCGCTATGACATTAAAACTTCAAAATAAGACTATTTAAGCGAAACTTTACTGCTAAGAGCAACATTAAAATTACCTTTAGTTTTACTAAATAATAGTCACAATAAATATGAAAATGTGAAATATTTATTTTTTAGAGGTAGATGGGGCTAAAAAGTATAATGACCCATAATCGGAGATTTTTGGGTTCACAATCACAATACTACAGATTAAGTCAGTATTTAATTTTTGATTTTATAATAAACTAATTTTACATCCTCAAAAATTGACCCCACCTGGTGGTACAAAATTATTATTTTTTTTTTAGTTTGTGATTATTGTTATCAGGTTTAAAAAAATATATAAATTAATGTATTATTGACGAAGTCGTACAGATCAGCTTTCTAAGGCCTATTTTAGTTTTAATTATTACTTTGTTTATAATTAAATTGTACGTATGAATATACAGGGTGTCCCGGGTTTAATGATCTTAATTTTGCCAGTCGGTAGAGAATCAAAAAACAAATTGAATTTTCAAGGAAAACATGTATCGAAAAATTGAAAATAAGTGAGATACAGATCTCCAAAGTTTTAAACTAAAAATCGTTTTTTTCCCATAACTTTTAAACCGTTTCACTAATTTGGTTGAAATTTTATGCATATAGTTGGGAAATACTGACTCACGTACTGCTTATAACAATTCTTTTCAAGGCACTCCAGTGGCATAGATATTGAGGGTGTAGGTTTCCTTTTTCCGACCTATGTTTACGCCACTGACTTTTTTAAAATACTGACACTATTTTTAAATTCTGTGTTCAATTAGGGAAATAAAGTTACTACGGTAAATTTTTGATAAGACGCTTCGATACAAAAATATTCGAGTTTGAATGTTTGAAAAACATCTCCAGACGCCCATGTGTAGAACATGGAATTCATACCTAGGTACTTGAAAATGGGTAATAAGTGTTCGCTTTACCATAGCATACATTTGAAAATTAATGACATTTCAGTGTTTGTTTGTACTTCAAAAGTTAAAAAGTTATGAGAAAAAAATATTTTTTTATTTAAAAAATTGGGGGTCTGTATCTCAGTTATTTTCAATTTTTCGATACATGTTTTCCTTGGAAATTCGTTTTGTTTTTTGATTCTCTACCGACTGGCAAAATTAAGATCATTAAACCTGGGTCACCCTGTATATTATTGTAGTAAAAAGAATAAAAGTAATAATTTGGAGTATATTACACCAATGTTACAAATGTGCTTAAATCACTTTTACAACATATTTTTTAAACGTGAATGACTTTAAATTAAAACTAATCAGTAGAGACTGGACTTTTAGGCATTAAAAAGTAAATCTTCGACAACAGTTCTTTTAACGAAACTTTTTATCGATCACAATAAATGTCCAAAATCAAAATAAACGATATGAATTAGCATAGAATCCGGCTACTATACACCACATCCTGAACATTGAACTAGTGTGGACCATTGAACTAGTGCGGACCTTCGCCGGGCCGTCGGATTTTTCCGCCAGAATGTTAACCACATTCAGGGCCGGGTTAAGGGGAGCAGCAAATTCATACCATACACAGGGTAAGCGATTTTGCAAAGATTGCTATTAAGCATGAAGTTGGTGCTAAAATAAAAATAGATTAGGTAAATGCATCTAAAGCACGAACAAATTTCGAAGTCAATAGAACGCAAAAATAAGAAGAAAAGTTTCCCGATTAAACTCTAAGATACTCTTGTATAACATAATTGCTATAGGTGTATGTATCTTGCTATAGCATATACGAATTTCTTGTTATTATTTTTTGACTCCTTAAAATATTCTCCTACGTTACCTTTTTCCTAATCGATCGAGTCAAGGCGCCAATGGGGCGGCAAAATACCTAGAGCCAGCCCTGACCACATTGTGTCGTTTGCGTTATTCAACTCAAGGCTTTCCCATCCCATGATAACAACAATTAAATAGTGATGTAAAAATAATTATCAACAAGATTTTTACAAATTATTGTGTTATTTAAATGGTTATAAAAACAACCGCTTCAGGATAATAGTTTGTTGATGAAATTATATTTAAATACACTGAATTAAAACATATAATGGTTTAAAAAAAACCAAATGTTTTAAAAAGCGGAACAATTCTGAATAATTATTGTTATAAAAATATTTAATACTAAAAATATAAAAGCTTCGACAAACACAAGTTGTGTTGTGTTACACACCATTTATCGACAAGGTATATAAATAAGGCTTAAGCTTACTTCAGATTGTCTTAGCTCAGTACAACATTTTTGACTCAAAATAGTGTGACTATCTTGATGAAGAATTCTGTTTATTTGGGTACTAGAAATAGCATAGACATTTTTTATGATATATAATAATTTTTTAAAATCCTGAGGCACCATATGTTCAAAAAGCACCGTTTTGCGGAAATAATTCTATACATTTTTCATTATATCTTTAATACGAGGTGTGTTCAGAAAATATCGGGAATTTTCGTTTTTTGAAACAAATATTTATTTATTCGTCTACATTAATGTTGTCGCCTTCAAAATAGTCCCCATTGGATATTCTGCATATGTGCCAGCTCTTCTTCCAATACTCGAAACACTTCTAAAACTCGATCTTTGGGATAGCCTTTAGTTCTTTCAGCGATGCGCTTTTAATGTCATCTATGCTTGCAAAACGACGGCCCTTTAAGGTTCTCTTTATTTTTGGGAATAGGAAAAAGTCAGACAGAGGCATGTCTGGCGAATATGGAGGCTGGGGCATCATTACAGTATTGATTGGGGCCAAAAATTTTGTTCAAAATTTAACAATTTTAAAAAAAATTTTGCTGCCACGCGTTTCAAACCCAAAACATTCGAAAAAATTTCATGGGATGAGCCAATCGATATACCAACAACAGCAGCGACTTCTCTGATGGTTTATAACCATTTCTTCCACTTTTTCCATGTTTTTATCGGTTGTCAATGTGCTTGTGCGTTCGGGGCGTTCGTCATCTTCAACGTCTTCACGGCCATCTTGGAAACTCTTATACCACTTGTAAACTCTTGTTTTACTTATAGCAGACTCACTATAGGCCTTTGTTAACATTTCACAGAATTTATTTCATTTTTTAAGCAAAATTGGATACAAATTCTTTGATCCATTTCTTTTAACGAACGAAAAATCG